ACTTTTTAAAATAAGCAAATAGACATTTTGTCTAAAATGCAGTGGCGTCATTTCTGATCATTTGAGGGAAAGGATGCATCTGCAACTATAAAAGTACTTCTAATACCAAAATGTGAAAAGTCAAACCGTTTCAGCTTGACTTAACTTCAATGCAGTCTGATCTTTTGATTGATTTTTAGATTACCAATTAATAATTAATTAAGTTGCTTAATAGTAAACGTTTTACAGAGTTTGAAGCTAAAACTGCCACTTGAGGATTTTTGTATGGTACATATTTACAGTCAAAGGGTTTTGTTTTATCTTAAATGCAAACTAAATATTTTTTGTACAGTTTTTACCTAATAGCTGCTCTGACAGCTTTGTTATTTCAGAAAATGCCATTTTTTCAGTTGTTGATTAATCAGTCACTAAATTAGTTGACAATTTATCTGATTAATCGTTTCAGCCATGTGTTGCAGTGCTTGAATTTTGGCTATCTCTTATTTGGGAGCATTTCTTTCAGGATCTAACAGGATCATGAAACTTTATTTGAGGTTTTAAAAGATTTAAAGACATTTGAAAGGGATATGTTGAACCTCCCTGAGAGATTTCTCCACAAGAACAATCCTTTATTTTTGTCTGTGCCGTTTGGTTTTCCATTGTAAGCAGAAAACCCAGACTGTCCCCTGGTGACCCTTTCTTGAAGTTTTGCAGCCTGTGTTTAGAGAAAACACCCCATCGTTGTGTCTGCACTTTAGTTTGGTCATGACTACAGACTGAAACGCTCCACTCTTCTCTTTCCTGTGTATTTTCCCGTGAAAGCTCATTTTTTACAGCTGTGTGGGCGATTTAGGAAAAATACTTTTTTTGTCTGGCAAGGAAGTGACTCAGAAAGGTTTCTGTGTGTTAATCTTTAGGCCAATGATCTAAAGAGGACCAAACATATCAGCATCCCAATCTATCTGCTTCACCTGCAGCAATGCTCGACTTTATCCTGCTTCAACTATATATGCTTGTTGACAAATCCGGTCTGGAGCCACGGGATATTATTTCCAGGGGATTGACTTAAAGATCTTTGTCAAAACCAAGTTGCAGTGTGTCAGAAAGGTTGAAGACAGATAAGAAAAACTTATCTGAGGGTAGAGGGTCATGCAGTAGTCGACATGCTTTAGCATGTTTCAGACGAATAATAAGTCCATTCATTGGTCTCTGTCTATCCATCCATCTCAATTTACTACTTTTATGCCTGTTTAGTTTTTGCTACACGCTAGCTAGAACTATGTTTTGTTTCATACCTTTTGAGGGCAGATAAGAAAAGCTTGCTAAAATGGTTAGCTGTTGCAAATGGCTAGCTAGCATAATTTTTTTGGTACTTACCTTTTGAGGACAGATAAAAAAAAGCTTGCTAAGATATTTAGTTGTAGCTAACAAGAAGCTAACACCATTTTTTGGTGCTTGCTTTTCAAGGACAGATAATAAAAGCTTACTAACATGTTTAGTTGATGCTAGTAGCATTATTTTAGTAATTTTATGAGAACTCCAACACAAAAATAATTCCTTTTTTTCTCATTAAAATTAGTTTTTTATATATATAATTTTAAGATATTGTTTTTGTCTGCTAATATTGTGACTATATTTTTGTGATTAAAGCAACATTTTCATAGTCTTGGCCTAACTTTCTGTCGTACAACTCACAGAAGGAACAATTTAAATAAAATCCACTTTTAGAAAAATATTTTAAAAATATTTTTAGGGAAAAAATCTGAGATTTTATGTTTCAGCCATATTGCCCTGTCCTGCCCATCATGATCCCACTTCTGCTCTTGGTTCCTATCCTTGTTTCTCACATTTGTCTCCTTGAAAGAAAAGAGTCCTGCCTGGATGGCGACCCAGCAGGGCGGTTCCTCTGGTCTGAACCGCAGAGAGAGAAGAGAACCCCCCCGGCTTCTGAATTTAAGAGGAGCCGTAATTACACAGCTCTGGGTATTTATACCCAGCTGTGACTTAGTGAGACGTGTGGGCTGTTTGTGTGAATATGACTACACTGGGGTTTTTTGCATATTAGTTTGTATAGGTGGGTGTTAGAGAAAAAGTACTCTATGAAGTACTTCAATAACACAAAAAAATTGTATGCATGATTTCTCTCAGGGTACTCCAATATCTTGGAGTCCAAAAACATGACTGTGAGGTAACTGGTCTCTCCAAATTGACCTAAAATATTTGTGAACGTGTGCATGGATAAATTATTATTGTTATTATTGAATTAGAAAAAGAAGCTACTACTCATGCCTGCTTAGCCACTGCTAACGACTAGCTATCATTGTTTTTTAGTGCATGTCATTGGATATTGATGCTTTAACCAGATTTTTGGAAAGAAATTACACACAACTTAATCTTATTAAAAGTACAAGTGGAGAAAACTAGGGGGACTTGCTAATTTTTGTGGTAAGAAGCCAGATTAGCTCATACAAGCGTTACAAGCCAAGAGCAAAATGTGACTCAACATTTCAAGCTGTTAAGCTACATGTCCTCTGATATTAAGTCAGTAACTGTTGCAGTGTGTAGCACTTTGCACTAAAGAAAACGCAAAATGCGTCAAAATTAAAACATGATCAAATAGAAAAGTAATTTCTAAAGAAAATTATGTTTTAATAAGAAAGCTTCAAGACTCTAAAGACAGTACCACAACTAAAGTAGGAGTCTTGGAAGGAGTTTTCCATCTGGATTGTGATTTTGGGACTTCAAGTCAATTTTGGCTTCTGTAATGTAACATTTCAGTTATACAGTGAAAAGCTTGAACATCCTGGAAATTTAACATCTGAATTTTAAAATGACCATCTTAACAGAGCAAAGACAGTGAAACAGGAGTTACGTCAAGTTTCACTGGAGAGTTTCGGACCAGCTGAAGGTGTTCAAGTCTTTTTGGATACGTGTGAAAAAATGCATTACAAAAGTCTAGATGACAGGAAAACCATGAATAGGGATCTCAAGTTCCTGTTTTTCTGTTTCTCACATGACCAGAGTTATTTCGAGTGACGCTGATCAGATACTTATTGGTTAATTTGTTGAAAACAACACCCAAATTCTTTAAGTTTGACTTAAGAGCAGAACTCAAATGATTAATATATAATCATATTTGAGGAACTATTATCAACAGGTCACTGATCACTCTGTCTTCTTAGAGTTTATTTCAGTTTTTAAACATTTTTAAACTGGTTTATATACCCCAATAATTAAAAGAGTTAAAAGAAACACCAAATTCTTGAAAAAAATCTTATGCAGCTGTATTACATTTGCATATTAGTAGAAGAAGGTATAATGAAATGATTGAATGATCCAGTGGGCCCAACTAGGAACCTTGGGGTACCCCATAGTTTGACTTGTTTTGATTTATGCAGACACGTTAGCTTCCGTTTCAAATAGTTTCAGAAATCCCCATCAAACTTCTGCTTTTCCTGTACACAGGTATGTTCTACTGTTAAAAAACATTTTTATTAGCCTCATATAATATTGTATGAAAGCAAAATAAATGTCAGTCTGCTGTTGGAAACATATGTAGCAATGTAATATTTTACATGTCAATCTCATGAGCATCAGTATAGAAAAAAACATTTCCCCATGTTTAAACAAGGTTTTATTGGGATTTCATGTGAAACTGCTCTGGAAATAAAATCTTTTGTGACAAATTATTCAGAAGTCATCCAAGAGTCCATCTTGGTATAAAATTAGTCTTAATATTGTCCAGTGTCAGGGATGGCCATCTCTGTTTGGCAGGCTTTAACACTGAGTTTAAATAACAACAAACTCCTAACAGTAAGCTGTAAACCAATGTTTGGATTCCTGTTATCCCTCAGCGATCAGATTAACGCTCTTTAACTTTTCACCCCATCACGGAGCGCAAGCCGTTTGAACCTGCTGTGTTTTCCCTTTTTGACGCCGTGCAGCATACCTATAGGGTACAGTCAGTGTGGATGATGGACCTCAGTAGGCAAGTCGGTGCTTGTGCCGCTGTGTGGCAGGTGAAACCTGTCTAACCCCACTGCTAGCCCACTGCTAGCGGAGGTGACAAGCGCCAGGAGGCGGGGGTGTCTGCAGCAACCTGGGCACCTGTGGGGCGCTCTCGCACCTGGTGAGAAATCCTGGCAGTTTGCTGAGAACTCCATGTTTGTGTTTTTCCTGACGGATTTAGTGCAGCAATGACCAGTATAGAAAAGTACATATCAATGTTTTTCTCACGTTTTTCTTTTCATTCAGTCCCATAGAATTGCTAAAATTGTACAAGAATTTGTTCTACAATTTGTTAAATTGTTGAGCATTTTCAGTGGTTTCAGTTTTCATTCCAAATGTCACATATGACCAGACTTTTTTTCATGTTTCAAGTGAAATAATTTAATAATGGAAGTATGACTTTTTCACCAATATTTTAGGAATTATTGACTTAAAACAAATTCCTATATCTTGCTGAAAAGTTACTTTTAAGTTATTTTTTGTCACATTTCAAGTGTGATATGATATTTTCACTAGAAACTAGTCCAAAATTACTTGGCAAGATTTAGTTTTTTGCCATGCAAACTGTTTTACAACATATTCTTATGCAAACATTTGACTTTGAAGAAAGTAATTAGCAATATTTTTCTCATTGTGGCAGTTGGATAATCGAAATAATTTGAGTAAACTTGCTATATTCTCTGCGTTTTTATTGGTGGACGTAAACATCTGGTTTCAGGTTGAGGTGCCAGTATTTTTAAAACAGGAATGTGAGCGAGTGGGTCACGTTGACATGCAGTTGCTTTATTCTCAGCAGCTTTTGTTGCTCCCTCTTTATCCATGTTCGGTTCTATCCTCCCTGCTCTTTATTTTCCGCTCTTAACCTAAAGAAGACAAACGCAGGGGCAAATGTTTTCTTTTCTCTTTGTGCTGGAAATTGGTTTCTTTCTCTTTTTTCCCCCTGTCTGCCTCTCCTCTGAGGGGAGAGGAGGCGGAGGAGGCAGTGCCGGCTTTTGTGAAATTTAGCGTCGGGATCACAGTTTTGTCACTGCGCACACAACGCAGCACCAGCATGGATCCACCACGGAGTTATAATCTTTTTTCCATTTCAGTCTTCATTCCAAATGTCTGATGCTTTTTTGGAAAGTTTGCCCGTTGTTTGTCAGACCGGTTTGGATACTTTCAAGGAAAGAAGTAACAGAAAGCAAAAGAGGAGCGAAAAAGGGTTGGATGGCTGATTCTTGTTACAGCAAGTAAACAGGAGATTGGGATTGACATGAGGGTAAGATGAAGTGATTTATTTGGAAGGGGAGATTCAGAGGGAGGTTGGCAGAGAGAGAGCGAGAAGGCAGTGGGAGGGAGGACAGATGCAGGGTCCAGCCCTCTGAGACAGCAGTTTGCAGAACATCACCGGACACTGACGTGAGCGGGACGCCGCCAGTTATTCTCTGAAACTAGACCTACCTCTGATGCCACACACACACACACACACACACACATTCATTCCTCCATCTGCTGCCCAGAACCTCTGCCTTCTGATGATCCAACAGATCTGGTGTGGAAAATGTGGGATTAAACTTCCTGAGGCAATGCATTGGAGTCCAGACTGTTTGACTGAATGACTGGAAGAGGAAACTTTCACCCGATATCCGTTTCTGCGTCTGGACTCTGTCCTCGACTCGGTGCTGATAGCCCAGCGGTCCATGGTGGTGGTGAGCGATGTGGGTCTGACTGAACTCGGTACACAGATGCCTGCCGCTATGCTCCCGTGCTCCGCGCCAGCCGGGTCGGACTGGAGCTTCCAGAACCCGGTGGGGGTGGACTGCAGCTCGCCGGAGCCGCGCTGCATTTGGGTGGCCGTTCTCCACGGAGCGACGAGTCCAACGCCGCGCGCTGAACCGGCTTCGCCCGGCCAAAGCTCACATCAGCCCAGGGTGAGGAGAGGTCAGCCAGAGACTGAGGCTGGTGTTTGGGTTTCTGTTCCATATTTATTTATTTACTAATAAATAAAATCATAGCTCCAATAGATCTACAACTGTTCTTACTGGGTTACAAGAATAGTTGTAGATAAATGTATAGCTTTCACATAAAAGCTTTCAATTTACCTTCAGCAATACAAAAGCAGAGAGATATTTACACAACCTATTGCAGCTTTTTTTACTACTTTCTATAAACACATTTTTACTAATTCAGCTACTTTTACTGTCATTCTCATTGTATACTGAAAAGGATGCAAAAACCGCAGAAGAACATTAGGCCCACAAATCTGACTTCAATGTTAAAATTCTGACTTTAATTTTAAAATTTTGTCTTTAATCTGCTGAGAAAACTCAGACTTATTTTCTGGATGAATGCTGTTCCATAAAAACAAACAGATCATTTTCTCTCCTGGACTTAACATGGGGTGAAAAATCATTATGTAGATTGTTGCAAAAACACCAACTCTTAACAAGTATTTTTGTCTAATTTCTGTTTACAAGAGAAATTATACAAAAGTAACTTACAAGTAACTTTTCAGTAAGATGAAAGAGCTTGTTTTAAGCTGGTAATACCTTGATATTTATAAAAAATAAGTACTGGGTTCACTGGGAGATTATTTTTCGCAAGTTATCAGTGAAAGCGGAACCAGTCTCTCTTTCATCAATATTGAGGAATCATGTTGTCAAGCTCTTTCATCTTTTAAGTTGGTTTTGTCTTATTTCAAGTGTGCTGAGGTATGTTAACTTGAAACTAGATAGAAAATATTTGGTAATATTTGATGTTTTTGTCTCTATGTTTGATGGTAAAGACAGAGGCTCTCCATCTCCCTCGCTAACTTTTCCAAGGTCCTAAAGTCCTGAAGCGTCACCAGACCTTTTTTTTCAAATCCACCGGATAACTAACATAAAATTTTCCTTCATATTAGCCCTCAAGTTGTTTGTTTTAGCGTTAAAATAAGCATCCGGTTGCTTATAACCAGAACCAATAAAGATCCTGGTTGTTGTTTTTTTATCCTCAGAATAAGCTTTGCAAACTCTGAGTATTCTTTGGAAACCGCTGCATGCGGTTTGTCAGTTGTGCATGTCAGCAGCGTTGCTGTAACTTCATTGTTTGGAGTCATTTAAGCGCTCAGCTGTTGACAGGTTGCTTAACCTCTCAGCGTTACCTGGCAGAGCGACGTCATACCTCGCTGCTTCCAGGCTTAAAACTCTTCACCGCTTAAATATTTGCAGCAAAAGACGTGCACATTTCTCCTTCTTTTAATGTTTTTTATTCTTGATTTTTTTGAATTATGTTTGAGGGTGGATTTCCAAGATGTAAATCAGTTTTGAAGATAGGTAGTAATCAGTCTTCCTATCATCTAGAGTTTATGTGTGTGATTCTTGTTGACCTTCTTCTAATTAGCATCTAGAGAATGATGAAGGGAGAGCTTAAGTGCCACTTTTGGTTACCTTTTGTCATAAAAGGAGCAAGCTGTGCCAATATATTCCAAAAATTTAGGGTGTTTAAATCACTATTTTAACTCATTGTCATTTTATTTTTTATGTGGAATATTACTTCCTCTTCTCCACCTATTTTTTTTTTTCTGCTACCATCCCCCTCATTCTTGACTGTAAAGCAATGCCACAATCAGGAATGCGAGCGTGGGGGCAGGAGACAAACACTCACTGTATACGATGTTTGTTCTCCCGGATAAACAAGAAATGTGTTTCATTTTCTCTTAAGGTCAAAAAGAAACACAATTTCTGGCTCCGTCTGCTGCAGATGCCGTTAAAGTTAACAGATTCTGCGTAAGTCTGGAATTTCGTGTTGATAATATCGCTAAGATGCCTATGATGTGTGAGCGGCAGAAAAATACTCGAACTGCTTGGTTTGAGGTTAGTGTAATAAAAACAGAAGTAAAATTGTGGAAAGAAAACAACCCACAAGTTTAATTATAATAAACCTGATCTGGAATTAAGTTTTATAGAATGGAGTCAGGTCATTTCATGCAAGGCTAAAAAAAGCCTTAGGCTCATGTTGGAGATGGATTGTGGTCTTTTTTTTTTCTTTTTTTTTTACAATGGGCTGGAAAAAGTCTCAACTAATCTTTCATTTCTTTATATTTTCAGTGAGCGGCGGTTTTGTCAGGAATAGTTTCAGTTCTTCTTTAAGGTCAAACGGAGAGAATATCAGCATGATTGCTTGAAAAGATGAAAAAATTGCCCTTTAATTTAACGATCTAATAGCCGAGTCATTTGCCATTTAAGACACATTTTGTGCTTACACTGAAGTGTTTGTGGCGCCCATTATGGTGTGCAGCTCTGGGCAGAAAGCCATACAGTTTTAATACCAATCAAATAAATTTTGTAGGTTTTCTTGAGATTTTCCGTCAAACTTTCTGTGCTTTTCTTGTACTTATATCAGAGTTTTTTGCTTTTGCTTGGAGAATCAGAACTCACTTCATTATTTTGACCCAAATTGCACTGAAAATGTTAGCCGGTAGATTAGTATTGGTCTTCCTTATTCATCTTGACAAAACTTCCTCTATTTTCCCTCCTTTTCCAAAAAATTTATCTTTTTTTTTTTATGCAGAAATTAAGCAAAAAAACTTGTCTGATTTCTGGATTTTATTCCAAACATTTATTTATTTATTTTTTGAATGAAGATGTTTGACTTAAAACAAAACCAAACCAAGTTTTTGCAGTTGTTTTTTTTTTTGTTTTTCTTTCCTCTTGACCAGAGGAAAAAGTCCCCAGGCTGCATTTAAACCTGCGTCATGCACCCTGTGTGCCTCTGCCCACTGTCCAACCAAACTATTGTAAATCTGCAACTCTTCTTGGAAACACTTATACTTTAAGGTTTGAATCAAAATAGCCAAGGCTGGCATGTAGCAATTGAACAACAGCAAAGCTGCATGTTTACCCACAGAGTAGAAAACCCTGTTTAACTGATGTTGCGTCATCACCTGCCAGCCTGGTTGGACAGTGAGCTGCGTTAAACTAGTTTTTGAACACACATATTGACACACAGGTGCGTTGGGAAGGATATTTTGAATCCTCCGCTGCTTCTGGTCCGGTCATGGATCACCTTGTCGGGATGTAGGATGCGTTTGGATGTGCCGAGATGGAGGAGTTCTCCCTCTGTGTGGCCGGTAAGTCGTGACGCTGCCATCTGCGTTTTTCTCCTCTGCTCTGCCCGCGCCGTCCGGATTAACGGCTCATCAGCAGATACAGCGGCCTGTTAAAGCTCTACTTTTCAAACAGGTTGCAGCTCTCAGCTGTTTAAAAGAGCATTATTGTTCTGTTCTGTTCGGGTTTTCAGGAGGATGGCTGCTGCCTGCAGCTCCTGATGACTGTAAATTCAGCTTTTTGATACGATCATGTACCAGTAAAGCCTCTTACGCATATAAAATCCCTTTGTCTCTGGAGTTTAGGAAGATTATAGATCATTCTTATCACTTTCAGCAATTTTAAAGTTTAGAATCTGTCCCAATTTGGTGGAAATGAAACAATTTCTGCTTTCTTTATTGTATTTTTAGGTCATAATCTATAATTTCAGGCTTTGTAATTGACGTCAGGAGCAGAAACAACTGCAGGGCATTTTCTGGCCGCTGTTGTGTGTACCAACAAAACTACACTCGTGTGGCAATTCAGGTTACTCTGCATGTTCGGTTGTTTTCCATTGTAGTGTGTTTTTGTGACAAAATCATCACGTGTAAATGGAATTCCACAGAGATGTGTACCAGGAAACATTCCAATGTAGTAATTGGTATGAATGGGAAACTTTTTTTATGTAGCACTCATAAAAAAAAAAAACATACCAATGTGGTTTTTGACAAAAAGTTCATGTTTTAGGTGTCTGGAAAATTAGGTGCTTCCGGATTAATAGAAGCACTTAAAAAAAAAAAAAAAAAAAACTCATCAGCAGGCACTGCCCCTCAGCTAGCAACCCCAGCAAAGCTTAGCCTGTTATCTAGCAACCCAAGCTAATCTCTAGCACCTTTGGTAAGCTGGTGTTACTGCAGGAAAAAGGCTGGTATTTTGTTGTTGACTTACCATCCAGAAACCTTTTGCTGCATTCTTATTGGTTACGCAGGAGGCTCCATTTCTGCTTTTCAAAGACATACAGTTGCGTAATTGCACATCTGTTTGCAGCCATTTTCACCTGCAAGCATAAACGTTGAGTTGGGGAGGCGTAGCCAGCAGCAGCTAATTTAGGTTTAAGAGGCCCAAATGTCAACGTGTAAGAATAATTTTGTGCAAAATATTTAATGAACGAGTTTTGTATAACCCAAAACCTATGCTAACTTGTTCAAGGAAGACTAATATAGCATCTTTAGGTAAGATGCCTGGTAATCCTCAGGTAAAGATGCCAGGTAATCTTAGAGATGTCAAATTCTTAGAGTTTCATCTCTGAGAAGAAACTACAAGATTTTCTTCTCTCTGAGTTATATTTAAGCTCAGAGAGAAGAAAATGTTACATTTCTTTCTCAGCTTTTCCCTTAAGCCTGTTTGGGAAGCCAAGATAAAAGATTGAAAAAACTTAAAAAAAAAAAAAAACCTCCATGAACATTCTTCGTTAAACACAATGTCCTTTCCTGGAGTAGCCGGACCGCGTCGGCACGTCTGAGTGAGTTTTCTTAAACCAGAAGGTGAGAGGTGACAGGAGAGGTGTTTATCCGGCCTGAGGGAGGAGGGCGGGCGGAAAGGTCAGCTGCAGACTCGATTATCCGAAAAGGAACACGCAGCCCACACGGTCCAGAGCATCCGAGTGGGATTCGGTCCAGACCCGCTCAGACCCCGTGTGTTTTGGGTAATCACAGGGTTATGGTATTCCCAGCGCCGGGAGGGGCCATGTGGTCGAAACTGGCGTGCTGGAGCCTGTCCCTCTGCTGCAGCACGATACTCCTCCTCTTCCTCTTCCTCATCTGTCTCATTCACTCTCCCCCTGTGACATGTTGGCGTGTGTTTTGACTCGTCCAAACCAGAAACCGCTCCTTCTGAGGAATTCAGTTCGATTCTTCCTCTTTTCTTCCTCTTCTGCTCTTTCATTTTCTCTTTTATCGCTTTGATTCAATCACTCTTTCCACTCACACTTGTCCACGTCTCTCTGCATTCCTCTAAGAGAAAATGGCAGGCCTCACGTTCCATTGTTTAGACTGCCAGGCTTGCTTGAAATATTCCAGATTTATGGAAGTCGAATTCGGAAATATGCAGACATTTATGTGTTCCCCAACACAAATCTGCAAACAAATCTTTTCCTGTATTTATCTCTTTCCTCAGTGGAACGTAAAAGTAGAAGGAAAAGAAATTGTGCGGTGAAAGATTTCCACTGCATGAACTCACATGTTGAGCGGGAGGAAGAGGAGGTTGGGCGAGAAGGAGAGGAAGGAAAGAGGAAGAAAGAGGAGTGAAGGAATGGGAAGTACCTCGACGATGAGGAATATATTTATAGGAGCTCTTGGTTGTTCCATTTCCTGTCTCAAGCCAGGCACTTCCTGTTGTTGTGTGGCCACACACAAACCTGCCACATGTGTGTGTTTTAGCTAATGGTTTTAGCATTTATAGGAAGTAGAAAGTGGCTGCAAGGGTCTTTGTCTTTCTAATAATAAAAAATGAGAAAAAATTCTCACATTCCAAACAAAATAGAGGCATTAATGTTTAGCTTCTGAAAATTGGTTATTTGAATAAATTAGATAAATTAGATGAATGTGTCAACATCAGAGTTTATTTAACATTCGCTTATTTTAAACATAAATACTTAATAGTTAAGTATTTATGCATTATTCATTAGTTGCATGAATAAAGTATCTTATTGATTTTAATGTCAATTTTGTAAAAATAAAAAAAAAGTCTTTTCAGACAAGCATTTTAAAAAAGGGAGAAAACGCAAATTCTGGAGATAATAAAAATGTAATCATAACACTAAGAATCCATCCTTGAAAATAGTTACATTTTCTTATCAAAAAACAAATTGTTATAACATGAGTAAACACAAAAATATGTTTTCAAGTAATTATTTTATTTAAGACCTGTATCGCTGGGAAAATGCAGTTTTCTCTTATTAATTTATAAATTACCGGTGATAAACCAGAAGCCAGAAATTAATCCAAAACTGTAAAAAACATTACACACAATTTGCATTTAACATGTCTGTAAATATGTTCTACCCAGAACTCCTCAACTGGCAAAGTTTTAGCTTCACCTGGTTCATTTTGCAACATTTCTCTTATGAGAATCCAATTATTACTGTCCAATTATTGATCGATTAATCCAGAAATAATCAACAGGCCAGCCTTGCATCGTATTTATGTTAAGTCAAGTCGATAATTTTAAATGCTTAATCAAGTGTACAATAAACGAATGCTATGTTATTGCATTTCAGGCTATAATTTTTTTTTATTATAGCCTGAATATAGAATTTATTTAAATAAAATGAATTATTTGCTCATTTGCATCTTTCAATGTATACTGTATAAAAAGTTTTACGTGATTAAATGAAAAATCAGCAGAATGTGCCATTTCTTATACGATTGTCACAATAACCAATTGAATAATCCATTAGTAAAAAAAATTGAGCGTTCAAACTGATAATCAGATAAAAAAAAACACCCTGATAGAACCCAAGATTTTTGATAAAATGTTTTCTGAACTGACGAGACAAACACAGAACTTTGTGGAGGGTTTCAGAAAAAGAAAACCTGATGGTGGAGGACTTTCTGTATCTGATATAACCACAAATTCTTCTCTCTGGTAGAAAATCCTGAATGTCTGGCTATATTTATGCTCAAACACAATTGGATTATGCAGCCGGACAATGAGCCAAAGCTCACGAGCAAGTAACTGTGAAGTGGAGGAGGAGGAGCTGCAGATCCCTCGTATAAGCACCGAATGTGTCTTAAATTGGCTCCATGGAGCAAAGAACATACCTTTCCATATCAAGGCACATCAGTAATCACAGATGTCTGTGAAACCAGGTGCTACTTACTCGCTGCTGATTTGTAGCTTAGTGGGATTAAAAAAGCTTCAAATATCCGTCTTGTTCTTTTGATCTTATGATTTCAGATGTTTGAAGTTGTTGAGAGCCGGTGTCTTTAAATTACTTGGATGAAAGAAAATAAACTGTTCGCAGAGAGATGATATACGTTAACTGTAATAGTAGCAGGTATTTTAGAGGAACATAGATGAGTTACAGTTTTGTTATTAAAATGGAGAAATGACTAAGAAAAAGTGCTTAATTTGTACTATATGAAGAACAGAAAGGTCACAGCTGCAAAACTGAATAACGGATAAAGTTTTGATGTTCTCCTTGTATGCGGTGTTATTTCTGTCCAGGTATTTTCTCACCTGCAATTTCTCATTTTGCATCGGCTTTCGGTGTGATTGTATCCACACGTATTGGTCTGTCATGACCCTATGATGAACTGGAGACTGTCAGACTGTTAGCCACTTCTTTAGGCTTCATGAACATTCTCAGAGCTGTTAGTATTGAAAGAATGAACTAACATTAGTCAGTTTTCCTAAGAATCTCCAGTTAGGCTGAAATTATTAATCAACTAATGTAGTAATCAATTAATGGTTAACTAGAGTGTGCAGAGTCCAAAAATTTCCATTTGCTGACAAAAGCATATTCAGACCCTTAATTAGGCCAAATCTGTACAAAATATATACACATTTTACACTTATGGTATAAAACCCCCAACTTTGTCCATAAATATGTTCAGCTAAAACTTTAAGTATCATCGTTTTAGTAATACCTGGTTCAAATTCACTATTTCATTGCATTTTAAGCAACTAAATGTTTTTCTGATTTAAAAAAGGAATTTAATTATTTGTTGGGTTTTTTTTTTTTGCATCTTTTAATGAATTTCTAATGTTCTATAAGAATGGTGAAGTGGTCAGATTAAAAATCTGTAGAATGTGGTGTATTTTTTTAAAAATCCAATTAGTTGATTAATGGATGAAATAATCAATTAGGATTGCTACTAACTAGTCTTCTGTTGCAGCCGTAGTCTCTAGTGTGACTAGTCTTTGCATTGTGTCCATTATTGAAAACTTTTTGTTGTTTTGAGGTTTGCAATCTTTTAAAGAACCAGAAAGAAAGAAAAAATAAAATTGAAGTTAGACTCTTGTCGTTGGGAGTCGACACATTTATTGCTCCAGTGTAGTATTATGTAGTAATACACTGGAAATTTAAGTGATAGCAGTCAGATAACACCTTTCTGGTATTTCACACAGCATATCTGACCTTTGACCTCGGGTATACACATCCCCTCCTTGTGTTTGACTGACAGATGTGGGTCTTCAGGGCAGCATGAGGGTGAGACTTCTCACATGTGGCTGTGAGCTGAGCTCACTCTGCTTATTTACTCAGCAGGAGGAATGAAATATTTGGAAAGTGGGTGGAAATCTTCCAGCAAACCTGAAAAAGTTTGGACCTGTTGTCCTCAGTCCAATGTCAGAACGATCTAAAAAGAAATCCCGGATTCCTGACCTGGTTCTGTGCAGCCTGGAGGGCTTCCTGATTGCAGCGCTCTTTCTAAATTATGTTTATGGCCTATTGTTCTCAGGTTGGTTGGCATGCAGGATTGAGCGGAACATGAAATGCATTCAGGAGCTCATGAGGAAGTTGCTAATGTAAAATCCAGCAGCTGAGGATTAATGTCACAGGGTGCAGAGTCACCTTGTTCTTCCTAGAGAAACCAGAACATGTGTTGCATCTGGAAAACTGGAATGCTTGTGCTAATAATGGAAACAAATGTATGGAGGATTTCTGTGCTCTTTCCTGTGCTTGATTTGACATTCGTGCTTTAATTATTGTAGTTTTTTCTTTGGACAAATCAAGGACTATGGCAACGTTTCTGTTAAAAATTTGCACAAAACCTTAATATTTCACTGATTTTGAAAATTTAACACATTAAAATCACACCTCATTAAGTTTATTCACGTGATAAGACATAGGACAATTCTTGCTGATCAATAGTAAAAAAAAAAAAAGTAAAAGATAGATTAGAAATATGATAGAAAAAATCTATTTCATACTTCAAATTTCACTGAAAGTGAAGTGTTATCTAAAATGCAATGTTTACTATTGCCTCAAATTAAGTTTGCTTTTTAAATTTTAAAAGTTCGTGTCTATTTTTGCACTTTTAAAAAAAATCATACTTCAAACTTTAGACTGAAAATGATGTTCTAAACCTAACAATTAATGTAATTAGGCAAATTCTAACGTCTTACTAATTTTGTAAGTTCTCAATAAGCTTCAGATTAATTAATAAAGTTAAACAAAAGGCATTTTGCTCTATGTATTATGCTATCTATGCTAATAAATAGCACCATATAGTTTTTTTTTTTCTTGTTTTGATTGACTTGTTACTGTTTTTGTGTTTACAGGCTAAGGGGCGGAGGGATGGTCACTCCTCAGCAGGTGACAACCCTCGGCCGCCGATGGCGTCCCGGCCGGAAAGGGAGGGGGTCGGCGTGGGCTGGAAGGGCCCCCGGACGCTGGTCCTCCATAAGAACTCCCAGGGTTTTGGTTTCACGTTACGCCACTTCATCGTTTACCCTCCAGAGTCTGCTCTGCACACCAACCTCAGGGTGAGACCTGTTGCTCAATTGGTCTCATTATTTAAGACCGTAGCGTTTGAGATTTAAAGCTGATCCAGTTGTAGTCGAATAAAACAAACACTGGAAGAACTAATTTGGCAAATTCCAGCAGCTGATGGGCTTTAAAGGGCAATAAAGCTACTCAGATTTTCATCCTTCTTACAATATGGAAGATCCCTGCAGATTTTACTCCTGTTTATTTCTGTTTTTTCATTCTCTGTGAAGCTTTTCCTGATTTTTTTCTGGGCTGGGGGTGAGCCTTTGTGTGAGCAAAGTGGTTATTTGGCTCTTTGAGGTGCTGGCACAAATGTCTCCAGATGTGAAATTGAGGGATGTGGAGGCTGGGGTGGGGTGAGCCAGCTGAAACAAGACGTCTATTATTTTTCCTCCACCCCACCATCCACCAGCTGCAGAAAACAGGAGCCCTGACTCAATGGGTTCTGTTGTTGGAGCATGGTACCAATCGCTGTCTGTCAGGACGTACCAGGTTGGCCCGAGACAATAGGCCCACTGCTGGCCTTTGGCCCTGGTTCTGTCCTCATGTCCCCTGCTTCAATGGACACCAAGGTCACATGTTGTTTTGGGGCAATCAGACTCACAGAGACCCCCTTATTCTTATCTGGAAAACCTGTTTGGCCCTATCCCAAATTACCCACATAAAGTTCAATTAGGTTCAGGGTGAGTGTTACTCAGTTGGGGTTAAATGTCTTTCTAGTCCTGTAAGTTCTCAAGGCTCAAGATGCATTGGAAAAGTGAAACTTCTGGTATTTTAAGCTACAATTTTGATCTACATCAAAATAAAGGCACAAAAAATACAGCTTTAGAACATATTTATACTCTTCACATAAAAAATAATCTCCTATACATGTGAATGCAGCAGTCTAGATACCTTCACGCTAATATCTTATCAAAAATGTAATCAATAGAAGCAAGTTTGTTCTTATAAATGAGAATCTTTTGAGTATATTTTACACCAAATGCAGAACAGGCCTTGAAGATATATAAGAGCTCAAGTTTTTGTTGTTTAAATTGTGATAAAACTAGCATTCTTGTTTGCAATTAAAGCACAAACACATATTTAATTCACCATTAATTAAAAATGCTTGAAATGTTTTTTTTAGATCAGAATATATCCCTATAACCTGAAACTACTCTGAGCATTTCTTACATCCATTCATTCTCTTCAGTTTGTCCAAGATCGGGCTGCAAATCCAGACTTCCCTCTTCACCTGTCGAGATCTTACACATAAAACTTGTCAAACAAAATCCAGAGAACAATGTCCCTTTGTCTTTTAATGACGAGCCTTTGTGTAAAACCTGCAATAAATGATTTAATTGGAACAGTTCCCTCATTTGTAGGCTACCGGTATGTAAAGGTTTCAGCCCAGCAGCAGCTCTTTAGGTGCACCATATGCACTCCAAGCCACCTCTTGCTGTCTCCATTTTGGTTTTGGATGAGGTCAAATTGGGACTGGTCCATCGGTGCATGTCCCCGACTCCCAGTTCTATTCTGGGTTCGACTGCTGTCCTTTCTCTGTCTCTAAATCCCCCTGCATTGTCTCCCGAGCCTGGAATGAGCCCAGTCAGCGTAGCGTAAAGCCAGGCAGCAGTCAGCCCACCATGTTTCGAACTCCAAACTGCCCACTCAGCTCAGTAAAGTGTGTGTATGTAGGTGATCTGATCTACCTATCTGATCTCCACTCTGTCTGTTTGTTTGCTGCAGGGCATAATGTCACGTTTGCCTCCAGTCTGTCAGACCTGAAAGTCGATTTCTGCATATGATCGGGCTTTAAGAGCTCATTAAAAGTAAACATGTTCTTCCCAGGAGGTTTAATTTCTACTGTCAGGAAACTCATGTTAATTAATACCAATGTTGACGATATGACTTGTAGAATGTGTTAGGAACTGTTTCAGTTGCATAGGGGTGCGTAGTTTTCCTGCACGATGTAAGCCCTGAATCACCACTTGGTAAAATTCCTTCTCATGACGACTGCAACAGCATCAGCTCTTCACAGGATCTTACTAATGTTAGCCAACATTAGTAAAATATAATTTAGCTGTCGGTAGGATCAAGTTTCCAGTTTTCTTTCTTGACGTTTGTTTTCTCTTTCTGTCATCTGTAGGATGAGGAGAACGGCAACGGGAAGGGTGAGTTGTTTCCCCGTCATTCAGACATCAGTTAAACGCAATACAGTCAAACAGAGATGATGCAATGAGGTGGGACTCCTTCAGTCTCCTTACAGACCTCTGGTTTGTTGTTTCTCTGCGCCACCTGCAGGATTTTATGCAACACTGCACCTGCACTTGCTGGTTCTAGACTGCAGATATAAGTTACAAAAACTACTGTTTTTTTTGTATAATTATAAATTTATTTACATAATTTAAAATAATTTTTTGTCAAAAATCCTAAGTGTATTTATTTGTTTAAAAATGTACCAGTGTCATTGTGTGTTTTGTTATTTTTTAATATACATATTGTCTGTTTTGTGCTTAAATATATATGGTTGATTAATGCTTAGTTGTAACAAATATCCTTTTACTTTTGACTTTAAGATTTTTTCCAATGACTCCTTTTCATTTGAAACGTTTTTCATATCAGAATGTGACATGTTCATTTTAAACTCTAAACAAATTAAATAAGAAATTTATAATTTTTATTAATGTTATTTAGATAAATATATATTTTGAAACTATATCAATTTATTTTAGAAATGAAGTGGTTTTGCCTTATCATGGTGCCTCTTCAATTTCATCTTCATGTCAGGATTTAAAAGTAAAGCAGCCAGTTCTTTGGGTTTCCAACAGAATTATTAATATTTTTATAGCACACCCCAGCTGTTAAGTCATTTTGTGAAAAACAAACAAGGAAATGTACTAAATTACACCAACTGAAATGAAAACTGTTCAGTCTGTACTAACATGCTGGAGTCAGCTGACTTGTGCTGGATTTATCTTGTGTGCTATATTTGCATAGATGGATGGAAACGGATACTTCATGAGAACACAGAAACTTTCCATATGGAGTTTTTTTTTCTAATTGTAAGCTCCCCACATCTGTTGAAAACATTATGTTTTCAACTGATTCCCTAAATGAATATAATTCCCAGGAAAACATTTCAGCATTTACTGTTTAACAAGTGCAGCCCCTAATCTTGAGTTTTGTTTGTGATGCAGGGTTTCAGAAAGAGCGACTGGAGCCGATGGACACCATATTTGTGAAGAATGTGAGAGAAAAGGGTCCGGCCCACAAGGCGGGTTTGTGCACAGGTAAAAGGAACAAGCCTCCAGATTTACTCTTGAAATTTGTTGACATTTGCACAGTTTACTGTGACGTTGCATCCGAAATGTGAAGAAGTGAGACGAAAGCTTGTCACAAGATGAAAACGAGATTTATTTGAACTTATGCAATGAAAATGACAGAGCTGTTAAAGTTTTTCTCATTGCCTCAGCAGAGTAGCAGTCCCATCTGTGCACGTATCCAGTCACATGCTACTTACTCAAACTTATGCAAACACACACAACACAACACACACAATAAAAACACTGTATGCATTTCAGTTTGCACAAACTCCTTGCCAATTTTTCCCAGTTGCTGAACTGTTTTCTAGCTTCTGCTCATGAAACTGCAGATGAATTTAGTTTTATTGATTTGCTTTTTTAATGGCATTTAAATAGAGGAACATGTTAATGTTAGATATGTGTTTACACCTCTCTGTCCTCTAAGGCTCAATAAAGATAATCAGATGAATGTTTTGCCTGCATGATTCTGTTTCTGTTGAAGATAAACACAAAAATACAACTTTTTTTTTCACCTTCACATTTCCTGTTTTGATCCGTCCCTCGACCTCACAGGAAAATTAGTTCCTGCGCAGCGTCGCCTGTTTATCCTGTCTTTCCCACCTGCTCTGAAGTTTTGCAGACTAGGACCTTGTTGCCTAACCTGTTGGCTGTGACAAGACGACATGTCTTCTTTTTCTGCAGGGGATCGTTTGGTGAAGGTAAACGGCGAGAGCGTTCTTGGAAAGACTTACTCACAGGTGATCGCTCTCATCCAGAACAGGTAAGATCACCTGAGATCACAAAAATGTCTCACTTCTTGTCACTTCTGCATTTTATATGATGTTCCACCGCTGCAAAAATGCGACGCATTACTAATCTAAGAAATTGTTTTGTTAGAGACTATATTTTGTTTAACTTAAGACTAAATTTTGAAATCGGAGTTTATTATTCACACTAAAATCTACCCAAAGCAACTTGAGGAAGGCAGCTGAGACACTAAATAAGCAAAATTTTAACTTGTGAATCCCCGTGAAATAAAGTAGATGTGGGATCAGGCACTGATTTTGCCTGTGAAGACCTTGTGTCTTAACTATATAAAGTATATTTCATCCTTGGATGTTGATTTTTCCTCTTTTTGTCGTTTACAGCGAGAGTGTGTTGGAGCTTTCCATCATGCCAAAAGATGAAGATGTGCTTCAGCTGGTCAGTATGATTTTGGACCACCACTCCTGGTTAAAATTTGTGAAAGTTTTTTTTGCTGTACCATACTCCAAGTTACTTTATATGGATTTTTAGTGTGGGAAGAGATCCAGTGTTTAAAATGATTGTTCTCATTGTGATTGGCATCCTGAGCAGTTCCTACATAATGGATACAATTAATCAAAGGAACATTCTAGTTATTTCCTGTTTCCAAGGCATGCAGGGTTTACTGAATGCGACTAGGATTTCTCTATTCATATGAGACTAATGGTGCATTTTCACCAGTCTTGTTTAGTCCAGTTTAATCCAACTCAAATTCGTTTGCCTATAAAGTTTGCTTGGAGAGGTGTGAGCCAAAAACTCTGGTCCGCTGTCTTAGTTCAGTTGAAGTGAACTCTGGCGTGGTTCGAATGCATATTTGAATGCCAAATGGACCAGAGATCGCTCCAAAAGCAATAAGTGGTCTATAGTGCAGTGCATTCTGGGTAAATACAACCAAAACAAACATGAGAGTTTTCCTGGTCTTATACCAAAGACAACCACTAAAATCTGACACTGCTGTATTTTTGTTTATGTTTTGCTAAAAAAAAGAAGTTGCGCTTTTCTCTTTTTTTGGAGGTTTTTGTGTCGTTTCCTTCGATGGTTCTTACTGCAGCTCCACCACAGGCGAGGGGGTGAAAAGGTTTTTCAATTAGTTTGACCCAATGTAGTGTGAAAATGTAACAAGTGTTGCAATTTTGTGCCTCAATCAAACCAAGTCTGCTGGACTATCAGGAGTGGTGACACCCTTAGACTCTGAAGTGAAAGCAGAGGAGAATCTGTGATGCTGTGCTACTGATATTTGGTTTCTCTACCAAATATCTACCTTAATACTTCAACTTGTTGAAGTACCGTGACATTTTATGGCTAAATGGCGCTTATATTGTTCAGAGTGCTAACAGAGAATGGCCATAACAATACTGTCCTAATGCCTTTCTTTATATAAATTTTCTTCTTCCTTTATAGATAAAATAATTTGAAGACCTTTTATGCTTCTTTTCCAGAGTTGCCACTAACTGAGAAAGGTGTTGTAAGATTTTCTAACCACAAAGCCAGAAAGAAGCTTAATATACTTCCATGCTTCCTATTTTAGGTCGGTGTTGTAAAGTTGTTTGTGCGCTCATCTTCGAAGTCGGTTCATCAGATCACTGCTGAAGAATGCGGCGAGTGACTCACAAGGCTCTGCTCTGTTTTCCAATTACATTGTCCATTAAAATCTTCATGTATCCCAACTGTCGAAGTCTAGAACAAAACCGCTCCTTGCGCTCATTTACACACGCCCATGAAATGCAGCAACGCATTTTTGTCGCTCCACAGGTTGTTCCGTTCTCGTTTGCATGATCCGACATGCATCGGCTGTTGCCCCTCCCACCGACCTGGAGCAACATTTCGACACACCGAGCCACATTTGAGCAATGTCTCTCAGAAACGCTTTCGTATGCTTCCCCAGAGAATATTGCCAACGGTGTGATCTTTACTTAAAAAAAAAATTGCCTCTCTTTTACATTTTAAACCCACTCCTCTGACCTCACACTCCTCCTCTCGCTGGTGTATCTCCTGCATTCCTGTCATGACATCACCGGAGCTGCGCCTCCTTCCGCGCTCCCACAGGGTGGAGTAAGTCCGAGAACCAGAGGGTGAAAAGTGGGAATCTAGACGGATTTCTGTGAGGAGAAAACAAGCCGATCATCAGACAGGAAGTCGTCAAGGAAAAGAGGCTAAAAGGATTTTATTAATAAGGACTTGGTGAATTACGACGGACACCTTTTAAGCAGCAGGAGTGTCTTGTAAGGAGTGTCGGTGTGTTTTTTTCCACCATCTGCGGTTTGTGTTTTGATTTCTGCTAAACTGTTGTATCATTTTTAGGATGATAGGATGATGTTGTAGAGAACAATGTGATTAAGTTTTTGGGGAGTGGAAAAATGTAACATTTCTGCTTAGATTAGTAAACAATTTCCTTTTAGGCTTGTTTTCTCACGTTGGAACTCAGAGAAAACTCTGTATGTACGAGTCAGTGCAGCAGACTGCTGTGTGGTGTGTTTTCTTCCTTTTCCTCTGGGGATTGGGTACATTTCTTTAGTGGATATGAATTTGTGTTGAGAGATGACAAAACCTCTACACAAAATAAAGAATATGTTGAAGCAAGCCACTGTCTTCAAGCATAAAGTGTTTAAATTTAAAATTTGGAGCATTCTTTTGCAAAAATGAATCTTATTTTTGCTTGATGACTCAGTCTAATGGTTATAGTCATCAAGCTGAAATACTTCATCATTCACTCATGGTTTTTTTTCTCCTCCAGGCATACTCACAAGATGCTTACTTGACCGGGAACGAACCCTTCGCCGGGGGAGCTGAGAACCTCCCGCCACCGCCTCCCCTCTGTTACCCACGCACCAGGACTGCCCCCCATCCTGGAGCCCCGCTTTCCTCCCCCATGGGCCAGAACCAGCTGGATAACTGGAGTTGCTGGCCGGGGTCTTCAAGCCCTTCGTCGCCCTTAGATAACAGATCTGGTGTGGCCAGCCCAGCCAGCTGGCAGGAGGGCCGGGCAGGTGAGCCAGGTGGAGTGGGTCACAGCAGTCCAGCGCACCGCACAGAGGAGATCCAGTACGGTATGACCAGCCAGCAACCTCAGGGTCAGACCAGGAGGCGCTCTTACTCTTCGTCTTCCTCTTCTGGAGGTCTTCTATCCAGCCCCCTGCAAGTCCACTACCCCAACCACCAGAGTGCCGGGTCTCAAGCACAGCCTCGCAAGTCCAGCACAACCTGGACCAGTCCACCTATGGCTCCTGTCCGCCACAGCCGCAGCGATCGCTGCCAGCAGGCTCTCTCCGACTGGTACTACAGCCAGCAACCCGAGCGGACAGGACGCAGCATGCAAACCCGCCCCCGCAGCTACTCTCAAGACCGGCTCAGCGAGCACAGGAGGCAGCAGCAGAGGGCAGGTGGCTGGCCACACAGCGCCTCGCAGGACACCCTCTTCCTACTGCAGCAGTCAGGGCAAGGACCTCATGGTGAGCCCTATTGGTCCACCGGAGATTGGGAGGCAGGACACGATAGGGGCCGCCCTGACTACACCCGAACACGCTCTGAAAATCTGCTGGCCCAGTACGATCGCCATGGCCGCTCATTGGAGATGTTGGACCGAGCATCAGCTGGACTGGTTTCGCCTCGGTCTGAGAGGCACCCGTGGCCCCAACAAGCCTCACAGCCACCCCACAGGACTGATGCCTACCCAAGACCAAGGTGCCACACAGTTGTGGCGCAAGCTCCTTCAGTGCCTCGACCGTCGCAGTCTAAACATCACCCAAAGCCACAACCAGACCCACTCCCAGCCTCAGCAGCCCGTCCTCCAGAGCAGGCGGCTTCCTATGGGGCAGGCCATGGACGAGCAGCAGGTGGGATATCGCAGCTACAGCCCGTCTTTTTACCGCAAGACAGGCCGCATCCTGCAGCAAGCTCAGTCTTTCAGGGACCCGTCTTACTCTGGCCCCCATTTGAACTGGAACCCAGTCCCCAAAAGCGGTCCCACAGAGGGATCGTCAGCACCTCTCATTGCCTCTGCCTCTATACCCCTCGTTTCGGTCTCTCCAGAATCCCAGGACAGGCCACACAGGCCGACAAACCACGAGAGGGAACGAGGGACAGTGGAGGGACAGGCGGAGATAGCGGCGCAAACACAGGAAGTGGTGTTGAGGCAAAAACCCCCTACTGGGCGGAGAAACGCCAACAGACACCCTCACTACGGCATAACTATGGACGAACTAGAACCCTCATTGTTTTCTCCAGATCCCAAAGACACAAATGTTCACTCTGGCTCTACTGAAGATGTAGCCCCTCGGAAAGCAAATGGCAACCTTGCTCCCCTTTCTTTAGATGACGATTCCCTGGCCTCTATCCCATTCATAGGTGAGTTCATTTCTGCTCCTTTATCTTTTTAGAAACATAAGCCAGTGTTTGTTCAGAAGCTACCATGCTGTAGGTGTTAGTAAGTTTTTGTTTGGTGACGGATGTCAACAATTAAATTGTTGATCAAAATTAGTTCCATCCGTTTAACGAGTAACGTCTGCTTAGACCTTCTTTAGAGTTATAGTTTGGCCTCCATCCAGCAGAGGGCACTGCTGGTGATCCACTTGATACAGAATTAAACATGGGGGAGTTTCCTAAAAGGGGAAAGAAACCGGGCCCAAACAGATTCTGGTTTTGGATGCAAAATGCACTTTTTGCCGTTCTGTTTTGAAATATAAAAACTTATTAAGTTTTACCTTAAACCACAATTTTCTGTCCGTCCCGTCAGTATATAACACACCTGATAAAAAAAATGTTTTAATTCAGCAGATTATAAAAAATTGAGCCCTCTTGAGATAGGATAAAAACTCAGGTTTTTAAGAAAATTGCTGCTTATGAATTAATCATTACTTAGTTGATTAAATCAATTGACTTTAGATTAACTCATTAATTGATAGCTTGCATTATTAGTTTTTTGTATCTTGTAAATTCCTGCTATTTGCCAAATTGGATCGGCCTGGATTTCCTTGATCTTGTGTGGTTGTAGCTGGATGCACGTTGGAGGTTAGGCTGCTGTCATGCCCAAGCTTGTGTTTTCTGTGGTAAAGAGTGAGAGTAAAGCCGCCCTGCAGCCTTCAGGTTGGTTTCTATTGCTTTGCACAAACAAAAGCCATTAACTCTTAACGCAAATTAATTTGTGGTAGCAGAAACGAGCCTTGCATCAGGCCATGAGTCAAACAGGTGCAGAACAGATTCAGATCGACTGACTAAATGTTGTGATCTTAGATATTTGTGCCAGGCTGCGCTCTGCCTCAGAGAGTCGGTATCTTGAAGGAATCCATTGAACATGTGACTACATTCTTGCCTTGCAGCTTCACCTGATTTAAATGAAACCGAGCAGCAAGAGCGGCAAGCCGGGACTTGTTTAATAGCCATAAACTGAAACTAGGCTAGTTTCTCCCCAAAGATGAGACATTTTCTCTTCTCTCCTTCAGCCTTCATTTTCCGATCTGGACGCTGATATGATCTGGGTCTGTTGGGGATCTTGCTTCTTTTTCAGACAGTGACAGATTTCTTGTTGTTTAAAAGACAGTGAGCACAAAAACAGGGCTGTGCTTGAGGGAAAATATGCTTTTGTGAGATTTTTTTAATCAAGATTCTGAAACTTAGAGTAAATGTTCTAAATATCTTTTGTGACAAACTGCCCATCTTGAATCTTCACTGAATGGTGTTTGTGACTCTTTCACTTCCACTTATATCCTGCCTTCAATGCTGCCTTTGTGATGCTCTGGTATACGAAGGGTCGGCTGTATGGGGCGCCTTATTCTTCTATATGACCGTAGACTGGATTTTTTTTCCTAAAATATTTAGTTGTGATTATGTCGCTGCAATAAATAACTTAAGTTTAAAAGTTTTCACTTGTCCTTACCTGAAGTAAATCAGTTTGGTGGGAAACTGTATCTTAGACTTTTTTAAAATGTATTGTTCATTTTTGGGGCTTAGCAAAATATGACATCTTCAACTTTTTCCAGATTTTATTTTATACACGTGAATAAGAAGGATCTCACTCTCTTGTCTGTTTCTTTACACAAATGGATTCCGTATATTATGGTGAAAGTTGTGAATGCACACATCTAACCTATTAAATCGCATTGCATCTCCTGGTGTTTCCTTTCCTTTCGCCCCTGATTGCCTGTTGTTGTTCCCCACACATATTGTGGGATGTAGTGTGGAGATAAAACATGCTGTGGGACAGGATTTTGCTTCCCTCTGCCGGGCTGCCGCTGTCTTTCTGTGGTCGGCCTTCTAATGACCGGCTTTGTTAAACCCACAGACTGACTATTTCTGGATTGGCAGATTCCTCGTCCCAGACCGGGAATGTTTTCCGTCTCAAACTCTTAATCTGCTCAGGGAGAAATGCGCTATAGACAAAGGAAATTAATTATAATTACTGCTACAACTATTTTATTACAAGTTATGAAATTAAATAGTTGGAATGATACTAAAGGAATCCAAGTGAGATGTCTGCATAGTTTGCTTGTGGTGGTGCTGCCCTCTGCTGTTTCCACTCTGCACAGCTTTAAAACGCTGCTGACGTTATGCAAATATCAGTGTAGGATCCTGTCCTTTCTACCTCTAAGGAAGTGTAAATGTGTGTGTGTGGGCATGTGTGTGTTAAGGTTTCATATCCCTCTAAGTGAGTGTTGACTCTGAAACATTTTGAACCTATTTGACGTGATTTATACCTTATTTTGCTGAGCAAAGCGTCTTTCTTCATATAGTGAAAAAAAGTAAATATTTAGATACATACACCCACAAAAGCTGCATTTTCTTTGTGACCTTTAACCTTGTTTGCCTGTATGTGATAATATCCCACAATGCTGTAGACTTTTATAAAGAACTGAAACCTGCAGCCATTAGGTCCCTGTCACCTACCTGCCTCTGCTAGCTCCTGAGTAGCTTTTCCTATGGCAGCAGACGACACAGGTACTGTTTTATCTCCTAGATATTTGCATATTTTACTCCATCTGTGTGGGAGTTTTTCCTCTATGTTCAGGTTAAAGGTATGTTTAAACACTCTGGAGAGGCTGAGGCAGGTTTTACTTTGTGAAAGTCTTTCTATGGCTTTTTAAAACGGCTTCAATCACTGGTTTCATGTCTGTGTCTGATGTAGAGTGTTGTGGCTGAAAAATACATTACCTCCATATCAGTAATTATTCATTAGTCTTTTGTTTTAAACATCTGAAGTATATTCACTACAGTTTCCTCTGGAGATGTTCTCGTTTTCTCCTTTCAGTCCTCGCTGTTCTTGATTATTTTCAAGCCGTTATGAGGCACGGCGGCAAAATCTTAAACTGCTGCAACCAAACAGTGAGTGAGTTGCTAGATAACCAAAGAGAGAGTAAGTGAGTTAATTAGATGCCACCAACCTTTCTTAGCTAGCTAGCTGTGAGAGCTTGAGTGGCAAAAAAAGTCTTTCCTCTGCCTACATCCCCCATAATGCCGTGCGGTTCTGGATTGGAGTTCAGCAAAATGATTGACTATTTTATCAGACATATTTTCTGTTGTTGATGTATTGCCCAGTCCTAGTCTGATGTAAAGAAATCCAGAACGGTTTTGTCTTCACGCTTACTGCTGTTGAAATTTGAGACTGCAAAATGATTTTTGTGTTCAGCATCTTGACTTACTGGGCTTCTCGTGGTCCTCTTAAAACCTATCCTCACCTTTCCCAATCTAACCCCTGCATTTTCGTTTCTGTTTCTTCTTTGACTCTTTTCTCTAACCCCTAATCCTGTCCCTTTATCCTTTTCCAACCTCTCTTTCAAACCTCCACCTTTGCCTCCCTCCCTACCTCCCACAGACGAGCCAACCAGCCCGGGCGCTGATTTGCGTGCCCGCCACGTGCCGGCCTCCTCCGTCGTGTCCAGCGGCATGAGTTCAGCGCCCCCCGTGGGCACCAGCCCCGCCTCCCCCACCTTCACCTTCCCCCTCAATAGGCTCTTCTCACACGACTGCAGTGAGTGGGACTCCCCCTCGTCCCCCTTATTGCTCTAGTCTTCGCCAAAGCATGAAGCAGGAAATTAGATTTTTAGTTGTGGCTTCTGATTTCAGCGATGGATTTTCACAGCATGTGTGAGATTTTACGTTCAGATATAGTTTTTTTTTTTTTTCCTATTGCTTTCTACGCTGCTTTAATTTCTCTTTTCAAGCTTTTTTGAGGATTATTTACTTTATTATTTAAGAATACTTGGCAGTTAATTACCTCATAATTAGCAGAGGGCCTAAATTGTATTGTTTATCGTGATAAATTTCTTGTCATGTTAAAAATTTCTATTTATTGTTATCACGATACATTCTGATTGATTAAAACCTCCCAAAAATATCCTTATTGTCAGGATTGTTAGTTTTACTATTTTCTCCAGTTTGTTCACAGATTATCAACACATAATAAATTCATAATAAATAAATTTGTAGCAACACAAAATATTATGATAAACCTTTGTCCATATCGCCCACCTTTAATTATTAGTCAATCAGCTTTAATTAACAATTTTAGCAATTGTTTTAATTAATAGCCTAATTTAACAAGTTCAAGGTTTTATTAGAAATAATTTTGGGAGCTTAAGAAGAGATAAATAGTCTTTGACAACATGAAGTTTTTAGCGGTGCAAAAATTATTTGCATGTGTAATTTATGTTTTGACGGTAATATTCCTGCTCTGCATGCTGCCAGACAAATTTACGTGTTCGATGTAGAATCTAGATCAACCCAGGTTGCATGGTTGAATTTCACAAATGCATGCCAGTTTGTATTGACAGTGCATGCTTGTGGTGTAGAAGAAGTCCAGGGAAGCCTTAAATCTAACCCACTGTTTCAGTTCACGACCCCAACCGTCGACCTCCTCCACGTCACTCCCAGTCTTTAAACCCTCAACCTCCCACATCACCGTCCCCGCCTCCTAATCCAGCACTGTCTTTTTATTTCTTCGGGTGATCGGCATTACATCAACATCCTGTCTCTCTTTCTCTCTGTCTTTTTATTTCTCCTTTCTTCATCTCCATCTCTCCACTGATCACCCTTGCGCCAAGCAGCCAGTATTAAATCCAGTCGCCGTTCCTCCTATGTTCTAGCCATCACCACGGAGCGATCCAAGTCATGCGATGAAGGACTCAACACGTTCAGGGAGGAACGGGCCTCGTAAGTACAGGGAGGTGGGAAAACAACTAATTCAAATGCAATTTTTTTTAATTTAACGTTATCTTTGTTGTTTTTTTTTTATTGGCTTTATAGAAGGGTTCCAAAAAGAGTGAAGAGTTTCTTTGGAGATGGGGTGAGTCCTTTATCTTTACATTTATTATTTTGTAATTTCAAGAGATCTATGTGATTGATATCTGCTCATTTTTATTTTTCCAGTTGTGTTAAAATCACTCTTTTTTTAAAAAAAACAACAACAAATGCTATTAACAATTATTCTAATAATTGTTTAATCTATCCATTGTTCTTCTAATTAATCAGATTTTTAAAAGATAATTTGTGTTCAGAAATGATCAACATTTTTCTCATTATTTTCTTTTCTGTTATCAATGTAATGGTCAGGGGATTTTCTTCTATTATTATAGCAAAATACTTACATTACTTTCATATTATTAATGTCAACCTTCTAGATTTTGATATTTTAAAAATCAAATAACCTGCTTAGGATTCCACTTATTCTTAAAAATATGTTTTTTTTTAAAAAAAACCATTGAAAATTTCCCAAATCAAATTTAAACAAACAACATAAAATTTAAATTGATAAAAATAAATACATGCAATAAAGTGCTTCAGGATAAAAGTTTTTGAATTGCAAAAACCTGCTTTATCAAGTTGCTAGATGCATTTCAACACATCATAAAATGAGAATAAAATCTTGATTGTTCTGTCTGCGTTTCAGTCTCTGGACATCCTTGCCACGGCGGAGGAGGTTCGGTCCAAACGCCACTCCACCTCCGAACTGGGAAACATCACGTACAGCAACATACGGCGGGAAGGATGGCTGCAATTCAAGCAAATCCTCACAGAGAAGGGAAAGGTGGGCAGCAGAGTTTGGATTATTTTGGGAAGGCCATCGCATTAATTACTCATGTCATCCTCTCTGAATCGCAGAAAGTTGGCAGCGGGATACGGCCGTGGAAGAGGGTGTATTCTGTCCTTCAAGCCCATTCGCTGTTCCTCTACAAAGACAAGCGGGAGGCGGTGTTTCGCGGCGCCTCGATTGAGGGCGGGGCCGAGGATGAGCAGCCAATCAACATCCGGGGTTGCCTGGTGGACATCGCATACAGTGAAACCAAACGCAAGCACGCCCTGCGGCTGACCACCCAGGACTTCTGCGAGTACCTGCTGCAGGCGGAGGACAGGGAGGACATGCTGGATTGGATAAAGGTCATCAGAGAGAGCAACAAGATGGACAGCGAGGTCAGAGGGCACACCGATGTCAGATTTATGTCTTTTCTGTGCTTTATTTGTTCTGACTTATGGGACAGAACATGTTCATGTTTGTTTTCTGCAGGAGCTCGGATCCTCCAGACAGGCTCTCATCAACAAGAAGCTCAATGATTACAGAAAACAAAGGTGAGTCATCTTGAGAACAGTTTCTGCTCTGGAGTCAAAACTGAAAGACAGACAGTGTTGCCAAATTGGAGAACTTGTGAAAATGCTTGGCTGGAATAAACAGCTTTGGGTGTGTTGTTAAAATTTGCATTGCTTATCACAGTATTTGGCAGCTTTTTAGAAAGGTTTCAAAGGAAAGATCTTTCTAAATAGTAGTCACTGCATGGCAGAAAAGCACAAGATTTTAAATAAATTGTCATGTTGCTGCATTTATCTCTTTTGTTTATTTATTTTGAAATCTCTAGAGTCGTGGCTTAACCAATGATTAGTCATTGGATAGTCAAGTTTCACTATGAAGTAAAATAGAAACTTTAGTGTAACATCAGGAAATACCGTCACAAAAAACTCAAGCCACATTGTGTTCAAACACGTCACATCCTTTTGGTTCTGTTCAGAATAAAATAAATGTGGATAGTCACAGGTCTATGAATCCAGTTGACGATCTTCATAAGTTTACGTTTTGTGTCTCTGTCTCCCTCTTAAGTCCAACATCAAGTAAGCCAGATTCGTCTCCCCGGATGCACCGCATGATGCCTCCGTTCCTCCTCAATAAGACGGAAAACACAGCTGGAGCGCCGCGTTCCCCAAAACCAGATGGCAAAGGTCAGTCTGGCAGAAACAGTCTGCAGCTACATCCAACAGATTCAAGAAGATTTTACTCTTTGATGCTGAATTTTCCTCAGCTCACTTCCTTTCATTATAGTTACTGGCCAATTTTCTGTCAATAATTCCTTAATATTAATGAAAAATTATTAGCTCCACTGGCAGATCATTTTACTTACAACATGGAAATATGTCCGATTTTAAGTGAAATGATCGTACTAGTACTTTTTAAGGAATTATTTATTTAAAACAAGTTCCTATTTCTTCTTAAAAGGTTGTAAGTTAATTTTGTCTTTTTCGAAGTTTACTAAGATATTTGCACAAGAAACTAGCCTGAAAAAATACTTGCAGTGCAACCTTTTATTGTTGAATTACACATTATATCTTTCATAAACATAGATGGGCACACATTCCAAAAATAAAAATAAACATTTTCAGCTTAAATGCAGGAATTAAGTACCTGCATTCCACACTATTACATTAAATTTCTGCTGAATGCATCAAATTCAAGCAATTTTTTGTCTGTAAATGTTCAGTAATATACAGTATTATCTTAGTTTCTTTCCACTCTAGCAGTCTCTCTGCTAATTTGGCGCTAATCTTAATAAACAGTTTGGATTGTTTGTTTATATGAGACCAAACACAAGATTATTTTACTCCAGGGCATGTTTTACGCCTTATAAGTCAAAGTTAAGAGTAAATGGTTAAGTACTTGAAGTGATTGTACTTAAATTTGACTGAAATCAATGAAAAAACGTCAAAACGTCCAAAAAAACTATTGATCAAGTCTTTTAAAAGATAGCAAGAAAGTCTGGCTTCTTAGATGAAAAATGTTAAGAAGTTTGATTTGTTTCAAAAACTTAGCACAATACTTTATGAGCTTCTTATCAGTTCATCTTAAAAAAATGTGTCCAGATGAGAGCAGCCCTCCGAAGTCTCCCTGGGGAATTAACATCATGAAGAAGTCAAAGAAAGCCGGACCCAAAGCGTTTGGTGTGAGACTGGAGGAATGTCAGCCTGGTATCAACAACAAGGTGAGCCACTCTTGACTCCATCTGAGTTTTAATGCAGTTTATTTTTTCCCTTTTCCTGTCTTAGACTGCATTCTGTTTGTTTTGCGCCTTCCTTCTCAGTTTGTCCCATTGATCATTGAGTTCTGCTGCGGTTTGGTGGAGGAAATGGGCCTGGAATACACCGGGATCTACCGAGTTCCCGGGAACAATGCCATAGTTTCGCTGCTTCAGGAACAGCTCAATAAGGGCGTGGACATCAACCCTGCAGAAGAGGTGAGGAAAAGAAGCAGGCAGAGCATGAAGCTTCAACCTGGAACTATATGGAGAAGCTAGAAAATTTATTATATTTCCAATGTCTGCAGAAGTATGTAAAAAATTTGGGGAGTGGAAGATATTTTGTGAATTCCTTCCTCCATTTCTTCATTGTGTCCTCCCTCCAGTTTCTGATTTGTCCAGGTTCCATATTTAATGTCTTTCAGCTATAGAAATATCTGCAATAAATATCAAGTAAACTTAAGTATTTTTTGTTTGAAAAAAATGTGGAAAAACTGGAGTCTGTTCAGTATAGGAAAGTTTTAAACTATCTATGTAAAACGTGTAGAAATTCTGAATGAATAAGAAACTTAAATTTCAGGGTCAGAAGGTGAAATACTTTGATGTTTGTTGTTTTTAGAAGTGGCAGGACCTCAACGTTGTCAGTAGTTTACTCAAATCCTTCTTCAGGAAGCTTCCAGAGCCTCTCTTTACCAACGGTGAGTCCACATATGTTCCAACAAGCCTGCATGGACGCCATTCTTGCAAATGTTATCAGATCATCCAACTCACTTGCTTTAATCTGTCCAACAGACAAGTACAACGACTTCATCGATGCCAATCGGATGGAAAATCCATCGGAGCGACTGAAGACCATGAAGAAACTGGTTCGTCTTTGCTTTTAATCCTCCAGGAATTTCAGGGAAGTTAACCGACCTGGCTGGTTGAACGGGTTCCCATGTTTATCGTTTTGTTGCAGATCCGAGATCTTCCAGATCATTATTATCACACTCTGAAATTCCTGATCAGCCACTTGAAGACGGTTGCAGACCACTCCGACAAAAACAAGGTGTGTCGAACGCCGTTTTGAAATCATCACACGCACCACTTCAGAGTCCTTTGTGCTCAACTGTTGTTGTGTTTTTTTCCCGTCTCCTGGTGCGTTCAGATGGAGCCTCGTAACTTGGCTCTGGTGTTTGGGCCTACGTTGGTTCGAACCTCTGAGGACAACATGAAAGACATGGTCACACACATGCCCGACCGCTACAAGATCGTTGAGACGCTTGTACAACATGTGAGAGAAGCGCACACAAACAAAAACTGCACTATGTAACTTTTACAAAATGTATTTTCCATGTCATCATGTTGTGACAGTGTAATAAGAGAGGAAATCTGTGAAAAAATTGAGCTCCTCCACCTTCCTCCATTGCTCTTGTTGTGGTTTGCACAATGCATCGGTTCCAGCGACCAATCAGATCCAGGAGGCGGGTCTTAGAGATGTCAGTCATCTTCCTGTATGTGATGCTTAATGAATTGATGGTGGAAAAACAACTCACCATTACAGAAAATCAATTTATGTGCCGTCATTTGTGGCCATGCTAACTACCCTTAGCATTGCTGAAAAGCTGTGCTGTAGTGAACCAGCTGTAGCTTTTAGCAACGAGAAAGGAGGCGGGTAATTGACAGCATTGAGACCCACATCCTGACTCTGATTATTTCTTTTTCAGATTATCTGTCTTACTTTATACTGTTACAACATAATGATAATTGTAACAAATATGTAAAAAGCATATATTTTTATAAAAGTACCTAACCTTTAAGATTTGTATGTGTCATAATGTCTTTGTAATACTGAACATTTTTTTCTCTGTCACTGTTGTAGTGCATCTGGTTTTTCACAGACGAGCTCGACAAGGATGAGAAGGTAGGTTTTCCAGTTGTGGCATTCAGATCTACACAGAGTACTGTGTGAAAAAGGCTACAATGTTTATTAAATGTAAAATGCCTTCCCTAAATGTTCAGTTTTCCTATACTAAATGCAATTTCCATGTTTAGGACTTGTTTCATTTATGAATTTCAGAGCTTTTGTTGATCTGCAAAGGGTGACATTTTTTTAAGTGGTAGCAAAACAAAACTGGTTAATTACCAATAAAAATACAAATGGAAAACAATAGATGTACTTATATTATAAGAAAACGTAAAACAAAGACCGCAGTGCCTTGCAAATGTACTGAAACCTTGTAACATTTCCACATTGTCATGTTAGAACAAAACACTTTAATAGATTTCATCTGAATTTTATGTAATAGAGCAACACAAAATAGTACATGGCTGTAAAGTGGAAAAATTTGTTTGTTTTTTTAAACTAAATGTTTATGTTTTTCTTTCTCTAGAATCTCCTCTTTTTTCCATTACAGCTGCAGCTCATGTCTCTTTCACCTTTTTACTTCTACTAATTGTTGTTCATTCTTCTTAGAAATCTGCAACAATTTTCAAGTTTTGCCAACATTTTGCAACTAGATTTAGGTCTGAACTTGTTTCCTCTGAACCATTCTTGGTTCAGAGGAAACAAGTTCAGACACTGCTCTTGCTGAGTCTTTACAATCGTTGCTCTGCTAGAAGGTGAATCTGCATCTGTCTTAGTCTTTTACCGCCTTTTTTGATTTACTTTTTTTTTTTTTTTCCTCCAGCAAAAATCCAGTTTTCCGTTATCTTTGCATTCAACAGATTCTCCCACAGGAGTAGTGGTCAATGCTCTCATTGTTAGTTTAGGCCAACATTTTGCTACACTTCAGTTTTACTTCATCAAAAATTTCCAGGTTAGAAACACTTGACTCCAACTTTTAGTACAGTCATAAGCACAAAAGTTCATGTAGATTTTACCACCTCTGCAGTAAATAATTACACAGGAAGGACAAGTTCAGTGGTATGTGTTATATCAATTTAGTCTGATTGTTTTTATCTGTAATTTCTAAATTAACTTGAGATTAGATGAGGTTGTGTTGATTATCAGAGCAGCGACACCTTTTCTGTAACTGATTAAAAGGAGAATTGCATCATCTAAATATAAACAATAAGAGAAACTAAAATGTTAAGCACTACTTTTTATTTTAAGCTCGGACTGTGGATAAGTCCCACTATGTGATATTCATTTAGGCATATTAAATCTGTGAATAGACAATAAAACTGGGCTTTTGTTAAAGCTTAACCCGCTGCATGAGCCCAATCTTTACAAGCTAAAGGAAAATAAAAACCAGAGATTACACAGTCAGCAGTACAGGTAAAAAACTGTATTTGAATCAGAAATTTAAAAAGTTAAATGTAGGGTATTCTGGGGAAAATCTGCAAGATTTTATGATATAAACAAAAGTCTCCATGACTCCATGCAATTCTGGGTAAATTCTAAGTCCACCCTCACTGTTCCAATAGGGTGAGCATCAACCAGATGCTAATGTTCAGATGTTCTTCAAGGAACATACAAAATTCATATACCAGACTAAAAAAGGAAATGAATCCAGGCGGCGTCATTATTAAAAAATTTTTGCTCATCTAATAAAACATTCAGCAATAAACAGCCACTGAAGCTTCTCCTTGTAGTTTCTTTTTATCTTCACAGAAACATTTATTTTATTTCCAAATGTAGCATATTCATAGTGCAGCAGTTGCTATAAATAATGACTAAAAGTCTCTAGTAAATTATTCACAAGGACACTTCACCCCCTGGCTTTGGAGTCTCAGATTCTGAGTTTTATTGACTTAAGAAAATTGTGATTTTACTCTAGATTTCAACCTTCCACAGTTAAAAGTCTTTCTGCATGTCTCCCCAGACACCAGTGGACACAGAAGACGTCCAACCCGCCCCCAACATCGACCACCTTCTGTCCAACATCGGCAGGACCGCTCTGCTCGGAGAGGCTTCAGGTGAGAATCATTTGAATCTATTGCTGCTTTTCGTTCCCCTTTTTGTTACATTACGAAAAGAGAATATAAAAAGTCATTGAAACTGGAATGTCCAACTTTCCAACCAGAACTGGAACGCAGCATGAGAACCGAATCCTTAGATCAAAGTGTCTCTGTGTTTGACAGCATGCCTATACTTCTCTCCTTTCTGCTGATTTTTTTTTCCTTCCATGTTGCTCATCTATCACTTTCTCTCTGTGCGTTTCTGCATTTCTTCTCTTAGCTGAGCCTGTGGAGCAGCCACTGCGGTAGGACGGGAACTCCCCTGGCAGTGTGTGTGCGTGTGTGTGTGTGTGCGTGTGCGTGTGTGTGTGTGTGTATGTGCTGAGCGAGTGTGTTATTGGTGGTGACGGCTTGTGTCTCCATGGTCTCCATTTCCCCTGGAAGTTGGCGTCCTCCCTGTCACTGTCAGATTGAGGTCTCTTTAAAATAAAAACCCTGCCACTTCAGTGTCGTCCCAGTTTGACTAATAAGTTAATGGGTGACTTAATGCCTGCTAAAGCTGCTGCTGTTTCTGACTCAGAGTGTTCACTTGTCACCAGCTGCGTTTCCATTGGCCATTTTGAAAATAAATTTGCGCAAAGCTCTAGTATGTAACTTAAATAAAAAAGATTTTTTGACGTATTTGTGGGAATTGTCACCATGTGATGACAGTATGGTATGAGTCAGTGCTAAGAACCTCCTCCTGGTTCTGATTGGTTGACTTCTTTTCACAAATTATGACTCGTATTACTCTGTCACAACATGGTGACAGTTTTGACAAATATATATTAAACAAAGATTATAGAAGTGATATACTGCAGCTTTAAAAGAAACCTGATAATTCAAAAAAACTTGGTTTTCGATCAATTTTGATCCTAGGATGAGGATTTGGACATATCGAAATTGGTTTATTTTGCAAAACTGCAATAGATTCACTTTTTTTCACATCACACAAGTAACATAATCAACAACTAAGTGTTACCAGTAGCTCAACCAATGAAGAAAAAGTGGGAGAATGACATTGTAGCATGTTTTTAAATGACTTATTTACATGTGATCTTAATTGTGCTTCTTATTTAATTAGAAAATTGTGTTTTTCTGACATTAGCAAAATATTACATACATTTATAATGGAAACAGTTTCTGAGAGACAACTAACTCCGACTACAGAGCACAGCGCTCCACTCATCCTCCACGCTTTTTTTTTTTTTTTTCCAAATCAATGTGGGCTCAATCATCGGGTTCCTCTAACCTCACTAGTGACTCTTATGGCACTCTTGGTTTTGCCATTTCCCATGTGCCATTTCAAAGCTTGAGAGATAATTCACTTCCTGGAAATTGTGTGAAGCTCCCAACTGTGAGCCAAACCTTCTTGCTTGCACCTGAAAAAGAGCCGCAGGGCGAACAACAATTGTTTATTTTGACAAAGAAATGGCTCCTTTTTGGTAGTGCGAACAAGCGGTGAACACAATATTTTGTGGCACTATTGATAACAATAAAAGCGACCGTAACAACTATTCATATCTTCTTTTTGAACTGTATGTATATGACATACAAATATTGCTTTTGAAGGACAAAATCAATTTTTAATATGTTTCTTTAGGACATTAATCACATAAAGTGTGATTTGCATCACTAAACCGCAACAGTAAGTGCATTTAATCATATTTTCAATATTTACTTACTCTAATTGAACAAACAAGTGGAAAAACTAACAATTTGAACAATGTCAACATCTTTGGGGTTTTCAAGCATCATCAACTGGAATTTATCATGACAATGAGAAATCAAATTTCTTATTATGATAAAATAATTATAAATTTTGATAATGGCTTTTAAAACTGGTGTATGACAGTAGTTGTATAATATATTGTGAGTCTTGCTTAATAAATGTAATAAATTTTGAATTTATAAACAATATTAACTCTTTTACACTAATTTCTATTCAGTTTGATATTTGTGAATTTATGTATTCACAACTACCAAATACTTAACTTCGAATTACTAACCATAAAAGTCACCAAGAGCAAAGGTCCAAGAGCCGAGATAAGAGAAACCAAGAATATTAAATTTTGCAGTAGTTCTTAGATTGTTTCTCTTATGTAAATCAAGATACACGTGGAGCTTGAACTATTAAAATAAGCAGATATTAGTATTCTAGAGGGGGTTTCAAGTATTGGTAGACCACATCTATTCTGTGGTTCTGATCCCTCAATCCTAGAAATACCAGGGGCTCCACTGTACATTGCAAATTAAAAAAAAGAAAAAGAAAATGGGAGTTGTCTTGATTCTGGATTTATTTTAAAATCCTGAGTTTCATTTTTGTCTCACAAACATACAAGCTAAAAGTAATCTGCTATTTTTCTTCCCGTTGGAACTTAAAAGGTTATATTTAGCCATATAAACTGTTTATGTTTTCTGTAGTGTTTTTTTTTTAATTCTGACAGAAGTAGACACAATAGTGCATTTAGAAACTGGTGATAAAACAAAACATTTCAGACAGCAGGTGGTCAAATTGTAACATGCAGACCCTCCACAATCCAAAGATTAGAAACTTAATCTGAAGTAGTTACATCCTAATTGTCATTCTGATTAGATTTGGTGGCATTAAGTTTCTTATCCTTTTGTAGCCAAACTATACTAAGGATATATTTGCATTTTTATGTGCTGCTATAATTTCCCATGTCTTTACATATATGCCAGGCTAGACCAATAATTTCATTTTTTGAGATCAGAAGATTAACGTCAGAATTCTGAGGAAAAATGTCAAAATTCTTATCTTTAGTGGCCCTAATTCTCTTCCATCCTGTCATAATATTCTTCATTCAACAAAAAACATTTGGTTGTACTTTTTACCACCTGTTAAATGTTTACAAATCTGAGCATTCCTTCTGAAGCCTTGTGTGTCTGTGTTTGTGAGGAAATGTGTTTCCCACTTCCTTCCCTGTTGATGATTGGTGCCATCAGTGTTTGCTGTGGTTCCTGCTGCACTCGCTCCTCCCACCTCCAGCCGCTGCTTCCCCTCAAATCATTGTCTTTCCCTCCAAATGCTGGAGTCTGTAAACCGGTGTGTTTGTTCTGGGTTCTAACATGATGAGAGGACACAGTGGAAGTTTACAACTTCAAATGAACGCACATTTATTTTGTTGTGAGTCTTTCCTTATTTTTTTTTTAGATTTTGCTTCCAATGAGTCAGATTTTAATGTTGCTTTTTAAAGCTTTCTTGAGGAAATTTCTGCTGGAAATGGAAATGGAAACTTGTATGAAATCATCCCAAAAGTCCCTCAGACTGGATGGGAAACTGCTTACCAAGATTTCGAAATACTATAATAAAATCTGACTCATTTGAAGAGCAGTACATAAAAATAAAGAATGACTCATTTTTTGTGTTGCAGCTTTGTGCTGCTGAAACGGCCTCTGTGTCCTCCACCATGACTGCTTTGACTTGTTAACTTTTTAACTTCTGACATCTTTATTTCTTCTTCTACAGACTCAACCAACAGTGACTCAGCTAAATCAAAGGTAACATCTCTCAAACACATGCATGACGGTTTATCAAGCACAACGTTCTGGCCCAAAGTTTACACAAACTGGTATTTTTGGGATTTAATTATTTAAAATTGTTTTCTTTAAACTTATGGCCTGGACTTCGATGTAAAACAGAAAGTTTGTCATGCTAACAGCAGCATTTCCTCCTGTTTCAGGGATCATGGGGGTCAAAGAAAGACCTCACCGCCAAGGACTTCCTGGCTCTGTCCATCATGTCTGCCGTCACAGGCCGCAAGCGAAGGAAGCGCCACCTCGCCCGCCGCTTTGGAAGCAGCACTGATGACGACTCAGAGCACGAACCGGTGAAAGCGGGACACCTTGGGATGGAGGGGGAAGAGGAGGCAGAGTCGCCAGGGGGAGACACTGCTCCTTGTGCTGAGGGAGAAGAGGACGAGGAGGAGGAAGACGACGACGATGAGGAGGAGGAAGAGGAGGAAGTTGTAGCAGGTGGAGAGAAAGAGGAGGCAGAAGAGGAGGTGGTAGCGGTCGTTCCCAGTCGGCCGTGCTGTAAAGAGGAAGAGGAGGAGGAGGCAGGAGCAAGGCAGACAGCTATTTTGTTGCAGGACGAGGCGGTGCAAGCGGAGGAGGTGAAGGGCCCGTCGTGGAGAGCGCCAGAGGACGCTCGCTCCATTGTCTCCGGCTACTCCACCCTTTCCACATTAGGGCGAAGCTTGGGGTCGGAGGGCAGAGGCGACGACGCCGACGATGAGCACAGTGAGCTGGTGAGCGAGACAGACAACGAGAGCGGCTTCGTCTCGCGCTCCCTAACCCAGGAGAGACCCAGCAAACAACCGACGATGCCCACGAACCAGCCGCCATCGGCACCTCGCAGCTTCCTCTACTCCCAGTGCAAACCGCCGGTCCTCTCGTCCATGAACCTCCTCGCCCCAGGAACGCTTGCCGTTGACTCAGCCGACTCTGTCGAGAGGAGCGAAGGAGGCGCGCGCTCCAACACGCCTTCCTCTTCCTCCTCCTCCAACGCTCACAGGCTCCACTCGCGGCCTTCCTTCAACTCCCACAAGCTGATCCAATGCGACACTCTTGCCAGAAAGAAACTGAAGTCAGAGAAGACCAAGGTCCGCTCCCTGGACCTACCGGAGTTTCAGGTTGAGGGGATCGGCTCTGTGTCCGACAGCGCACCAAAACCGAAGCGAGACCCCTCCAGAACGAACGCTTCCTCCGGCAGCAGCCAGGAAAGCCTGCGCCTGTCCCGGCCGAGACCCGCCCTGCCGCCCAGCGAAGCTGCCTCCTTCACCCCAACCGGCCCAGGCAGCAGGTCTCTAGCCGAGCACGTCCGGGCTCGCCTGCTGGGCTCTGCCGACGACCTGCGCAGTGTGGGGCTGCGGAAACCTCCATCACCCGAGACACGGAGGAAGAAACGAGCGTGGCGGAGACACACCGTGGTGGCCTCCCCCACCGAGACATCCGACAAGAGACCCCCACTGAGCGTCAATGAGTTCCCGCTCTCCCGTGTCAACCAAAACCAGGTGAAAACTCAAGGAGCAGACAGCCTGGACCACGAACCAGTTACACGCCAAGCCCCCACCTCCAGATTCCACCAGTACCTGTGAAAACCTCCAGGTGCGATTCATTTTGGCACGGCAAGGGGTACCCCAGTGTTGCCAAAGTTTTAGGGGGTTTTTTTCTTTGTTTTTTCTTATTAAAAAAAAACTTTCCTGTGCATAGACGATACAATATGGCTGTGATCCACATGTTAACCCGTGCGCATCATTTGCTATATGGAGCGCACAAGATAACATGTGATGCACACCACACTGTATCTTGTGCACTTATTAGTCTACTTTTATTTTTTTCAACGTCCCTTTACCGGCTTCGTATAAGACATAAACAAAACTCTTCATTAATGGCAAAAATCCACAATTTAGTAAAAACGGGCATCCCTTCCTTCCCGACTCACAGGAGAGATGCTCTCAATTGGTCACAGGAGGGCGCTGTTGTGCAGCTTTGCTCTGGTTGAGAAAAAAAATGGTGCTTCTAGCTAATTCAGCTTAATGGTAAATGTTACAAAAACTATCATGCAACAGGAGTAAATTCAGCAGATTTCCTTTTATCCTGCGACCAGTCTTCCTGACCTCACTCACTGTAAAACTCCCGTTTTTAGTCCAACACATGGACCAGATGTCTCTCTCTACTTGTTAATAACATCTATGAGTGTTTGTGCAGAAATGATCACGTTTTGTAGCATTTTGTACAAAGCCTTGTTAAGTTAACCTATGTAAATATAAATGTTTGTTTTCACCTGTGATCTTTTTTTTTTTTTAGTTATTTTTATATGGTTTACAAAACGTGCACAGAGTGCAGTCATTTCTTTCAAGACGTTACTTGAAATGTTTCCCTTAATATATTATTTTTTTGTTTATATTCAATATATATTATATATTTTGTATTAAAGTAAAAAAAAAACAGTACTTTTATTGTTCATTGAACCTCTTGAGCGTACCTGTTGGAGGGAGATAAACACAACTAAAGCTGTTCCTTATTTCTCCATAGATGGCCTTTCTGATTCACAGCACTGTGCAGACTACCTTTATCTCCTGAGATACTGACTTTTTAATGAAAGCTATCTACTTTAAACAAACATCCATCAAATAAACTATCTGGGGATTGCATGTAGCAAGTCTAGCAGATCCCTTTGGGAGAGTTTGCAGCCACATCGGCATGCTGACGGCTGAGCTCATCGTTGTTTTCGCGTTACCTCAGATATCATATATTTACCTTTTTAGTTTGGGATCTTTTTTCAGCCCATCCCCACTGAGCATTCATCTGTCGGCAGAGTTTTTACCTTGGGGGATGTGTCTGGCTGGGAGTTTTCCATAAGGTCAGGTTCTTAATGAATCCTAACTGGTTGAAATGGTACAATGGAGAAACTGAAAACAGGTCTGTGGAAAGTGTCCCCCGCCTCACACATTTATTCTGTTTCTCCTTTTTGTTGCAGCTGAAATTTGATAATAGAAAATGTGTACCATCATAAATAACCTGAGAAAACACAAGAAGCAATTTTTCTATAATGGTTTAATTTATTAAAGGGAAAAAGTATTAAATCCTACACCTTAGTTGCATCATAAAACGGTGTAATTAATCCTGTTTTGGTCCAGTTTCTGTAACCCTGAAGAAATCATTTAAAACAAAACATAGAAACAAATATTTAAAAGAGCAACTTGCTCTGACCCAACTAAGTCTTTGACATCTGTCAGTCTGGAAATCCATTTCTGAGCCTGTGGGACTGCAGTGAATCACATTAAGAGCTGTGAACCACAAATGACAACTTGGCAAGAACCTTTCCCAGGAGTGACTGATCTACCAAAAATTAGTCCAATTCATGACTCATCCAGGAGGTCAGACAGGATCCAAGAATAACATTTATAGCACTGCAATTGTCTGTTAAATTCAATGTTTGTGATTTAATAACAAAGAGGTTAATTTAATGGGCATCATTGGGAGAGTTCCAAGACAGACACTGCTGTCCAGAAACGACACAAAGGTTCAAATAATAACGCGATGATTCCCAAAACATTCCAGAAAATGAGTGGAACTGTTCGGACTTTATTAGAATAGCAGAAATGTATGCGACAGTCGAATACAGGGGTGGTAGTGAGACGTCTTGCGCCTGCTTTGCTGAACCACAAATTTTGCTCTCTGGGGATTACATTTTCTAAAATATTGCCAAACAGGTTTGGGTTGCTCTTTTCTGTTAATAAATTAAATCCTCATTCAGGGGGATGAAACGGTTGAGATGGTAAGAAAGCCACCTTTAAAACTGCTTTTTGTAATTAATTTGTACCTTAATATAAAACATCCAAATGTGACCAAAAACAAAGAAATGTCTAAGATGGGAAACTTTTTCACAAAACTATAATAAAGTCTTATGTTTTAAAGAACCACAAACAACGTCTCTGACCAAATATTCCAGTGAAGAATGACGATAAAGTTCTAGTTTTTTCTTACCTCGAGATTCTTCTACAAGTGCCTGATTTTCTGGAATGTGTTTTTCTGCGGTGCCATGCGCAGGTCTCGTCTTTTTTTATTATTATTATTTCATTTTGTTGTATCTGGATCCCCTCCTTTCTCCCGACGTGGCTGACCGACCCAAAGACGTGTACATTAAACTCCGAGTGGAAAACTAAAAAGCACACTTCAAGCCAAGGACGCATCTATGCACTCCCTTCACCTTCAACAAGAGGCGCTTATAGCAGCTGTTACTAATGCTGCTAAGAGAAGGAAATAATAAAAGGCATAGAAATCCCTCAGCTGCTTTTGCTCCCCCTCCTGAAACAAACTGAGGTCATGTGAATATGGTACACCTAACAAGTCCTACCCTGAAACCACTTTAGGTCACGCCAGATATCAAATTTCCTAAAGATGAACAAACCTCATCTGTTGTTGTGTGATGTACTGAAATGTGATTTTATCTAATGTTTATTGTATTTTAAAACTAAATTGTTTTGTACATACCTTAATATGTAACATATTGTATTGTGTACATTTGGAATTGATTTTGACTATAATTGATAACTAAAAAAAATGAAAGAAGAAAAAAAAAAGCTTGTCCGCCTGAAACTATTTCCCTTGTGGCTGTTTGCTTCAAAGCAAAAGGTATATGATGTAAATAAACAGAAATATGTTTAAAAGACTTGTGAGTTGGGTTTTTGTTGAATGTCGCCCCCTGGGGGCAAATGAATAGTTTTTTTTTTTTCAGTCTTAATGTTTGCTTCTGCACAAAAAGGAAACTGCATCCAAGTCTTTGAGGCCACTTCCTGTTAAATGCTGCGGTTTCAAATGTATGCAATCAGAAGTGCAAATGCACTTTAATAATAAGAAACATGCACAAATTAACTTTAGATTTACTTCCTTTGGGAGAATGAATCTATTTCTTCCTGCACTGTCCCAATGTGAAATAATTACAAAGGGAAAAACAAACCCTTGTGATCAAAAGCATCAAACAGCTTCTTGTATCTTCCAGGATCAAACTGTACAACAAGACACCTTTAATCAAAACTTTATTATCATTTGAACTGATTATAACACACAACTGTCAAAATGGTAAGTCTGGAGTTTGCTTTTGCAGAAAGAAACAAAAAAGGTGTTGCAAGCTGCTCTACTTTGCTGTCATTTCTTATTTGATTTCTGGAGAGAAAATGAGATGGGTTTTTTTTAGTTGAAACATGGAAGAGTTTGTCAGCAGATATTTCTATAAAGTTGTACTGGAAAAATCTGGTATTGTTAAACATGTTTTTTTCATATTTATATATATATAAAAATGGAGAATATTCATATTGAAATATTTACATCTCCTGAAGAAAAATTAACAGGACAGCTTACAGCCCAAATGAAAAAGAAACGTCATGTTGGTTATTGCATCGCCGTGCATCGACTTCTTTGTCCAGACAACAGACTGATTACAGAAACTGATAACATTTTAAAGAAAAAGAACAGTAGTCCGTTTTTTTTAACCTTCTTGAATTGTTTTTGAGTTTTGTGTTTTTCAATTCGTAGCGACCTGCCTGCTCTCCTTGCTGGGTTGAGTCTGGAGGAGCAGCTCGGTGTTCTCGGCTCTCAGTCTCTCCAGCTCCAGCTCCATCTCCCGGAGTCGGACCTGGGAGTTCTCCGCGGCAGCCACTGGCTCCACGGCGCGCCGCAGCCGGTTGTTCTCCTCCTCCAGTCGGGACATGCACTTCTCCAGCTCCAGGTACTCCTGCACCAGCTCTTGTTTTGTCATGTTCTGCAGACTCTCGACGTGGTACATCTCGTAGGTTTCGGAAAAGTCCCGCTGGAGGTACTCTCCACCTGCGTTCCCGGGCCTCCCGATGCCGTCGCTGCCGCCTCCTCCGCTGCCGTCGTCGTCGTCTTCCTCCTCGTTGTCGAAGAGCTCCTCCTCGCTGCCAGTGTCCTCCACGCGACCGCCGACCCCGGAGAGCCGCCGGACCCCGGCTTCTGTGTTGAGGTCGGGCTCCTCTCGGTCGTGCTCGTCCATCAGGAACTGGGTGGTGTTATAGGGCGCGACGGGGAGCCCCTTGGCGAACATCTCCTCCCTCATCCGCGAAGCCCTCACGGTCTCCCGCTCCTCCAGGGCTTTCTTCTCCTCCCATGAAAGTTTGTTGTAAGGCTTCCAGTGGCGTTTCTTCTTCGAGGTCCTGCGCCTGTGCCTCTTTTTGCCCAGACGTGCTTCCAAGCCAGTGTCGGAGTCGATGAGTAAATTCTCCACTCCCGATCGGTTCAAAGTCTCCTGCAGCGGGCCGTGTTCGCCTTTTTTCCCGCGTCGCTTGTCATCACAATCGGGCGAAGCGTCGGAATCGGTTGTTTTGTCAGGCTCGGTAGCATTCGGGTACTTGGAGAGCTCGTTTCCGGCTGCTGAAGCGGGACACACCTCCCTCCGTCCGCCTTTCATTTGCCATAACTTGTCTGTGTTGATATCCTCGCAGTTCTCCGCCCGACGCTGATGCTTCTCTGCTCTCTGGCGCCCCCTCTCGCCGTTCTGCGGTCCTCCACGGTTGTTGACTGGGAGATGCTCCAAAGGGTCCCCGCTACTCTCACCTGATGGACTGCCTGAAGTTACCATGCTATGGGTCTGCTCCGCTGGCTCCGTCATCCTGATGATATCCTTCTTATTGGTTCCGTTTTAGCACATCTTAGAGCATGTTCATGCTCAAAAGGCAGAAATTCAAAGTTCGTTAAAAGATGAAAAAAAGTAAATTTTTAAAGAAAAAAATGGGATTTCCAGAATGGCTTAAAATGTTTAAAGAAAGTTAACTTTCACGTATGGAAACAAACTTCCGAATAAGTAAACACTTGTTACTCCTCCAAGGATTTGTCAGAGCAACTGTCGCTAACTACCATTAACTGTTTCAGTGCTGTCAAAGGCGGCCGTCACTCAGAGACTGCGTTTCACCGTCACAACTGTGTCCAGTGTGCTACAGAAGAAGAGGGAGTCCGTGTTTATATAGCAGCTCCGCCTCTCTCTGTGCGCATGCCTCTCCTTGCTACGACTACTGAATTCTGGGATTTGCTGTTCTCCTTACAGTAGAGCTAATAAGTGAGACGTCCTCTTTAAACTACAAAGTCCACAAGTCTGACGTAACTGATGAGATTTTTAACCAATGAGAGAGTACAATCATTCGCCCAAAAAAGACCACCCTCCTTTTTGTTGATTGGGCTGCGGGAAAACTTTGCTGTTGCTAAGCTCAACTAATTTTCTGATTGGACAGCATATATTGTCAATCAAAAGAGCGCGAGCTACATTAAAAAAGCAGTCCCGGGCATTTTTTTATGGGCACTACTATTAACAAAGAAAGGGGTAATAACTAGATGTTTTGATTTAGAAACTGGTTTTATATTCTAAAATAATTTAAATATTTACCAGAACTGACTAATTGTGTATTCTTTACCTAAACGTGCGACGCAGAATTATTTGGAGCCGAAAACGGCGAGAAGTAATTGAGTAATAAAATGTAAGGCCCCTGTATTGCAAGGAATATGAAGCGGTCCTTACACAGAATGTAGTCCGCTTTCAGTGTTAATGTAAAATAATAAAAATAAAGCAATCTACTCTCTAAATCAAATAATTTTAAACGGATATATAAATAAAGATATATTGCTTTTGTGTGCTACTAGCATGATTTGTGAGTTCGTTTTAGCATTACGTGTTGTGCGGAGTGATATGTCGTAAGGCTGGAGCTTTGGGGGTGAACACTTAAACCAGCGTAAACAAACGACATTCATTGTGAAGTCTACGGTCACACTCTCGAACCCCTCGTTGTCGAAGGGTCAGGCGATCTCACACCTGCTTAATAATGCCGCTATCATCGACGAAATGGTGTAGATCCGTTTTTCGACAGCCCCAAATGTACAGTGTTTTTACACCGTTGCTTTAAAAGCTAAGGATAAGTTGGCTAACGTTAGCTGTTAACGTTAGTTAGCAAACGGAGCGCTGCGTGATATTGCTCGAAAATTAAAACACTGCATCCTTTCCATGATATTGTGAAATCACTCGAACCAAAAATAACTAATCCGAAGCTTAGACATGACAGTCCCGAACGGGAAATAATTCCTGACGGGCATAGTTGAAGAAAACGTGACGTTCTGCATAAAGCTAGACTAGCTGTAGCTAACTAGCTCGCTCCACGGTTCTATGTTGTCATAATCCAAGTAAATAAAACAAAAATACTAAAGCTATGTAACATTTTATTAGACGTGTGCTCTAATTCTGTCCATGGCAGTCTATTAAAATACAACTAGCAACAGAAATGATTGTATTTACTCCACAGCTGACTAGGCCAACGTGCTTTCGTTGGCACCGTTTAATTCCTGGACTAACACAGTTCCCGTGCAAGTTTTCCTTTACATCGTTATCTTTAGTTTAATAAATTTAAGGGTTGCTGCGTCTTTTCAGAACAATACAAATCACAATCTGTCCTATATTATAAGCAAACTGGGAATAATTGCTGTTTGTATTAAACGGCCGCACAACAACTTCGATTAACTGCTATTGCTTCAGGAAGTAGTCAGCACCAGATCTTTGCTTTAGTTCTCGGATAGTTAACAAGCCTGTAAATTGCACTTTCCTAATATTTTACAGTTTAAACTGCCACACAGCCCCTTTATGTGCTTTTGCAAAATATATAATTAAACAACGTAGGATAGGTGCAAATAGATAAACCATGCATTGCAGTGTTATTTTGATTTTTTCTGTTTTTTCAGATAAACATCAATCAATGTGTTTGAATTTATTATTGAGTTCACAACACTGTTCATCTTCAACTCTACATGCTAAGCTAACACATCCACATATTTTTTATAATACCCTCACTGCTTCCTTAAACTATTTAGCTTTCATTAAAAAGGAGAAATGGGTTATTTGCTGTGTGACCTTTAACATGGAGTCACTGGGAGTTATTGGTTTCCTCCAAACTGTGCCTGTAAACATCAGGAATTCAATGGCTCCCAAACAACACTAATAGAAACAGGCCCAGTTTCACCCCTGGCGAATAAGCAAGCTGAACTGTGAATTCTTTGAGGAAGAGGAGGTACACTGCTGTTAATGTGAAACCCTGACGACTGGTAAGACTGGGAAACCACTCCAGAGCTGCCCCCATATTCCTCAAATCAAGGAGCAGGGGCTGCAGCTACACTGCCCAAGCTGCTCCTGCACAGATCACAGCCTCTGAGGATTAGCAGACATGACTTAATCTCACACTCAGTCTAACCTGGTTATTGCTGCTATTGAGCAGAGATAAAATATATTAAATCATGTCATTTGAGGCAAAATACCTGGGGGTTCATAAAGACAGGAAGTGAAATTCAAAAACTGATCCATCAAGTTAAAGAAAAACATTACCTCAAATATTGTACCTCCCAACTCCCCAAACCTGCTTTTTGTATTTGAGTCATTATGTTTGTTCTCCTGGATAGATCATATTCTTTCTCCAAGTATCCCAGCTGCTCTGTGTTATGACACACACAAAAATATTAAACATCTAATCAATACTCATGTAATATGAAGAAGAACATTCACTTTCAGTATAATGGATCACAATAAACGCATGCACAATGTATTGCATGCAGTAAATAAGGCAGTTTAAGCTTTGGGAATTTTTTTTTTTTTTTGAAGTTGTGCAAATTATAGAAATCCCCAAC